ATACTTAAAATCACGTGTGGAGTCTGCAAGCATAGATACTTCGTCCTCTTTTTCTCTCAGTTTACATAAACGACTTAGGTAATGCATTAGTAAAGTTAAACCCAAGTATGTTTGCAGATGACAAAAACCTATTTTTTTTTTAACAATAGTATCAAACAACTTAATGCAGGCATGAATTTTGAATTAAGTAAGATAAATGACTGGTTTATAACGAATAAACCCTCATTAAACGTTGAAAAAATAAAGTATACCTTGTTTTATGAAAAAATGCAAGAAGAAGAATCTTTTCCATAAATTACCAGCTCTATTTTTAAAAAGCAAGACTATATAAAGTTTTTATGAATACATTCTAACAATAATTTATCTTGGCTTCCTCATATTAAATATTTACAATAAAAGCTTAGTAAAACCATCGGTCTGATGTACCGAGTTTGTCTATATGTAAATACAGTTTTTCTAAAGTTATTATATTTTTCTTTAATTCTTTGTTTTATTAATTGTGCTAATATAACATGGGTTAGTACACAACCAATTAAAACTTGAAAAAAAATACTTAGTTTGCAAAAACAAGCCTCTAGAATTATTTTCGGAAAAAAAGAGGGGAGCATATTAAACCCTTAATGAGAAATATGAAAATGAAGGATGGAGACGAAATATATTTTTATCAGCACCTAATTTTCATGTAAAATTATAATAATAATATAACTCTGGCTAATTTCATTTGTAGATTTGAGGAAAATGTAAGTGAAAATTATTTCTTAAGAACTAATCAATTAAATTCCTTCAAACTGCTAAGGAAACTAAATAAATTTGCAAAATATTTAATAGCATATCGTGGACCTAAGTAACGAAATTCTTTTTAAAAAAATAGTTGCAAATATGGTAAAATCATTAAAATCATTTAAGTTCCAAGCAAAAAAACACGTTTTGAATTTTGCGGAATAAAAACGAAACCCTTATGTAAATTTATTCAAATGGATTTTACTTATTATATTTAGTAGTTACTAATGATATACGTGTCTTTTAATGTAAAAATTTTTAATCTTTTTGTATATGCTTGTATGGGAAAAAGGTTACTACATCTGTCCAACAACATTCGTGGAGTAGTGAAATAACATACGCACATTTTTGTTCAAGATCACTCGCTTTTTTTCTTTACTGAATTAACATTTGCCCAACAACATCTGATATTTCATTGACATCTAATAACATCTTTAGAAAGAAGTAACTACATCCGGGATTTTTTCTCAATGTGCAACTACAACCGCCTAAAATAATGCATTATTAAATATAATAAATTTCCGGACGTATTTACATCCGAAAAAAATCAGATGAGTAAATATATCTGGTTAAAATAATGCATTTTTGAGTTGTTTTTTTTTACCAGATGTAGTTATATCCGAAAAAATCAGATTTGCTACATCTGATTAAATCAATGTATTGTTAAAAAAAAAATTCCGGTATGTAATTACATATATAAACTACATATAGAATTATTATATTATATAAGTGCTGCTATATTGGCTGACAATAGCCTGACTCGTAAAGAAGTGCTGCTACATCAACTGAGGGTTTGGTTTGGGCAGGAAGTCTATCAAAAAATTAAATTTGAAAAAAATATATATTATGCCTAAAATAATGCATTTTGGTAATTTTTTTTGGCAGGTGCAGATATATTCGAAAAAAACCAGATGTGTAACTTCATCTGGTTAAAATAATGCATTATTAAAAAATGTTTTTTTTGGATGTAGTTACATTCGAGAAATCTACAAATGTAGTTGCACGGATGTTATTATAAATCAATGAAATTTCGGATGTTTTAGACATATGTTATTATACATCAATAAAATTTGGAATGTTGTTCAGATGTTGTTGTAAAAACAATGACATAGCAAAAGCGGATGTTGTTACCCTGACACGTTTGTATGTATTTCTAATTTTTGAATACTTAGCTTTAAAATATAATTATTGCAAAATATCATTGTAGCATAAAAATAATTTGCTTTCTGACTATATGTTTAGTTTATTTTCAATTTTTTTATTATATTACTTTTGTATTTTTAACTCTATCTGACAAAATTTTAATATATTAAGGGGCTCTTTGAAAAGATTGAGGTGATTTTGCATCACCCATATCTTCTTTGAGTCCCGGTCTGTTTTTAAAATATTTTATTTACTGATAGTTACCATGTAAAACTAATCATTAATTTATTTTTACAGCGAAATATAAACTAAAAAAAAGAAAATTTACATCAAAAGTACGAACAGGGACACCATCCATGCGTAACTTGAATTTTTTAATACTCTGATATTTTACAGTTGTTGATGGAATTAGTCACTCTGAGAACTACCACTGAGTTTGAGAAACCTGACTACTAGCTCATAAAACTGAGTTTGAGAGCTGTATTAAGAGATAATAGAATGAGTTGCTTATCATAAAACAGAAGCACAAACAAAATTCATGCATTGAGTCAAGAAGATCTGGCATTTAACATCCTAAACTGGAAACAATGTATTATAAATATATATTTGCGTCAGACTAATAGATGAAGAAGGAGTGTAAGGCTAATCAACAGATAGAACCTTGGAGCCTAATGATAAATTTGTCTTCTTCTAGCCCCGGTCATGCAAATTTTTTTTTTTAAGTTACGACTGTAAATTTTTTTTTATTGGCTAAAATTGTAAAAAAAAAAAAACAAAAAAAAAACCTGTTTACCCCTTAAGTCTTTGCCTAGGAGGCCTTCTACAAGACAGTAGCCGGATGCGTTTAACATATGCCCAAGATGAGTATTTACATCGAGACACCATCTCTACCTTTTACTCAACCAAGATTCCCTAGGCAGGGGTTGTTTTAAGTCGGAGTTGGATTCTCCTAGTCTTTGCCTAAAAAAGTGTATCCTGCACGGCAGCATGATATAAAGAAGGTTGCACTGGGTTACATGTTACCAGTAGCAGGATAATCTGACCTGACTTTAACGCTTTCACTTCAGCTATAATTATAAACTTTCAATTAAGTCATATACCCAAGATGAGTATTTACATCGAGACACCATCTCTACCTTTTACTCAACCATGAATCCCTAGGCAGGGGTTGTTTTAAGTCGGAGTTGGCTTCTCCTAGTCTTTGCCTAAAAAAGTGTATCTTGCACGGCAGCATGATATAAAGAAAGTTGCACTGGGTTACATGTTACCAGTAGCAGGATAATCTGACCTGACTTTAACGCTTTCACTTCAGCTATAATTACAAACTTTCAATTAAGTCATCCATTTAGTTGATAGTTTATGTGAAACAAATGGATTTGACACCTTTTTTTTTTTTTTTTTGTTATATCGCATATAAAATAATTATTTGTTTCAATATTGTATTGAATATTTTTTGTCTTTAACAGTTTTATACTTTCTTATACTTGAAATTGTTTGTGTATAAACAAAAAAAGTTGATTTTAAAACTCAAAAAAAATCTGTGCGCATGCGTATGGGTTAGAAGGTAGGAATTCTTTACAAGTGATGATAATCGTAAACTAATTTATAATGCTGTTGAATAAATTTACAGTGAAATAGGCGAAAGATTTTATGAATTAATAAAAGATATATTTTTATTTTGTAATAGAAAAAAAAATCAACATAAAGAGTAAAACTATTACTGCAATACGATGAATATGGTGATAAACTGAGTAAACAGGATTTTCTTTGTATAGAATTAATACTTGCAAATATGATTTCTATACAGATAATGACGATGCCTAAATTTAATCAACGCCGCATTGCAAGAATTACAATGAAACGATAAAGCTCGTTTATTTAATTTGCGAAGAACATATTAAAATCAAGAAAAAAAAAATATTCATTCACTAGATTACACAAAACCTTTTTATTCAAATATTAATCTGAAAACATTTCATGTAAAAAGTTTTGGCGTAGAAACACGACATTTTTGTAGAGAATCTATACCAGTGACAATAAAGAGGATATATCACTCAGTCCTATGTAACTTTGCATGTGTGAAATAATTGTTTTTTTTGAAATTTTAATCGAAGCAATATTAAATTTTATTTAAAGAACGTTTAATCAATTGAATTTGTCAATAAAGTAGATAATTTGTTGTTATTTGTTTCTTTTTTGAAAATTTGTATAGAAACTCGACTTTGTTGCAGTGTTTCTATACCATACATTTATTAGAAATTGCTATAACAAAACCCTTATGAGATGAATTGACAAAATAACATCATAGGATTAAAGAAGACACAAAAATATTTCGGAAAAACTATAATGCTCACAAAATAAAACATTTGTAATGTATTTTGCAAAAGCGTGTAAACTTTTGCATTAACTTGAAACGGAGAAATTTTCTCAACTAAACATTTTCTAATCAAAATAGTAACAAATACACAGTAGAAAAATGGCCGAATATTTTTTCTCTTTTTTCAAAAACAGCGGATATTTGTGTTAGTGAAACCAGTAAATTACTTTCCTAGTTTTTTAAGATTAGTGCTAGCCACATACTTAAATAAAAATTAAACTGATTCATAGCAAATTTAAACTTTATAACGACAAATATAAAAACACGACACAAACATCACTTTTTATGCGCTATCTTCAAAAATTCTTCTATTTTCAATTTATTTTGATGCTAAGAATGTAATCTAAAAAATTTCTGAGCTATTGATGCAAAAACTATAATTTATCGTCAACCGTTGTGAAATAGGAATCTTCCGTAAAAATTTAGAGTTTCTATACAGAAATTCGTCTAGATGATGATGATGATGATGATGATGATGATGATGATGATGATGATGATGATGATGATGATGATGATGATGATGATGATGATGATATGATGATGATGGTGATGATGATGATGATGATGATCATCATCATCATCATCATCATCATTATCACCATTATCATCATTTATTTTATTGATTTAAAAAATGTCGAAAAATTAATTATCATACATTAATTATACAGTTGCAATCATGTTTTTATATTTTTAATTGCAGATGGTTATACAATTCTTGATAGCAAATCTAGTGATTTACTAAGGAGAAACATTTTGCATCTGCTTCAAGAAAATGAATGTATGAGAAAGGCTATAAAAGAGCAACAGTTCAAAAATTTTAAGCAAGTATTAATTGTTTTTTTCATTGGTGTATTTTTAAATTGATTTATAGTCAAGATTTAATTGATTTTTTGTATTTCTAGAATGTTCAAGTATGTTTTGATATTTAGCAACTTTTTACAAACATATTTTTAAGCTATCAGTGGTGACTAAACATAGTGGTGGGGACTAAGTATAGTGGTGGTGACTAAACATAGTGGTGGTGACTAAATATGTGTAAACTATAGCTACTAGTAGTGCCTAAAAAATTTTTTTTTGTGTATCTTGTAATAACCTTGTATATCACAAGTAGACCTCTGATAGATGCACATTCTTTAGAATGCACACTTTGAATTAGAATTGACTAAAAATTATTATTATTTTAAATACTTATTATTTGAATTACTTATAATTTGAAATACTCTTTGAATTAGAATTGACACTAGTATTCAAAGTTAAAAACAAGACTGTTTATTTCATTGTGCTGTTTGTTTAGATTTTGTTTTTCTTATATTGCATAAATATAATTGCGTTGGTTTAACTTCGCTATCACAAATAAGCATCTGCGCCTCTAAACAGTACAAGACAAAACGAGATGAAAAGGTAGAAAATGTTATTTCGATAAAACCAAACAAAGCTATTTTTATACAATTTTGCAAAAAATAGTACAAAACGAAACAAAATTTTTTGGTTTTGTGAAAAATACGGTACAAATAGAAACAATAATTTTTGTTTTGTAAAAACTGATATGAAATGAAATAAGATTATACTAAATAAAGTGCAAAATAAACAGTATGAAACAAAATAAAGTTAAACTTTTTAGTTAAACTATCGTTTACAAAACATTAAGTTAGTGAGTATTAAACACGCATTTGTTCTGCTTGAATGTTATAGTTCATGTATTGCTCAGATTGTGGGAATTGGAAAATATCTGTTTGAAGTGGGGGAACGATAAAACGCTCCGTAAAAACCGATACAAAACGAAATACAATTTTCTTGTTTCGTAAAAATACGGTACGAAACAAAGCTTCACTTATTTCGTAAAAATACAATACAGAATGATATGATATTTTTTGTTTCATAAAAATGGCATGAAACAAAAACTATTGTTTTTTACTGTGACAAGTCGAACTTCCGAAAGGATATGAGAAGACGCAGATGTCTAATCACAAGCATCAAGTACTAGACAATTATCTTTTCATTTTCATTCGGTTTCATAGATTTTGTGAGTCAGTAGTACAGTTCATAGTGTATTTTAGTTGTACAATTTAGTTTTGATATTTAAAATTTACATTATTAGGTTTACAAATTGTACATTTTTACATTCCTGCTTTTTTTTTTTTAGTTTTTAAGTAGTCGCAACATAAAAGACAAAAGAAAAGTTGTGTAAAATTCAAGATATAATTTTTTTATATTTGCAGACAGTTTTATAATTCAATAATTTAATATTTAGTTTAATAATTAGTTTTTTGATAATATAGTTTAATAAATAATTTTTTAAATGCCTATAGGTTAATTCCATGTAAAAGCACCCCTCAGATTTTTTTCAAATTTATACCAATGGTACTTTTATTAAAACAAGAAAAAAGTGCAAAATTTAATCTGAATTCCAAATGATGCTAAATTTATAAGTTTTTTAAATTCTAGATTTTTTGAGTGGTATTTTTTTTCAAATATATTCAAAAATTGGTACCTGACCATTTTTGTGGGTGCTTAATCCAAAAAATGTAGGAGCTGTGGATGTTGTGCTTTCACTAACATCCACAGCTGCCTAACTTTCATGGATTTGAAGTTTTTTTTAAATAAAAGTGTAGATGTTAGAATATCTTGATAAATAATATAGCTTTAGTCTCTTTAAGCATATTAAAGATATGCTCTTTTGAAATTTAAATAAAAGAAACTACCTATTTGGGTATATATTCTCAATTATAAATTTGATGGCGCTGAATCCAAAAAAAAAGATTTCTAAAGTTACCTAACCCTTATTTTGAAATAAAAGATGTTAGACAGTCCTAATATAAAGAATAGTTTAGATCTCTTATAGCATAAAAGAATATGACCCTGCATAAGTTTGTGAATTTCTACTCAACATTTTAGAAAGTAATAACATTGAAGTACAATTTGCATTACAATATTTTGAGAATTTTTTTGTTATACATCAATTTACCCTTCATAATACAGTTTAATAATTAGATATTATTCTAATAATATTGTAAACTTTAGTGCCTGGTTTTAGTTGCTATGTAAAAATCTTAAAATTAGTGTTAAAAATTGTTTAATTTTAGTGCAAAATTTTTTGAAAGTACAAAATCTGCTTAAAAGAAAAAGAAAAAAAAAACACAGAGAAAACAAGAAAAAATTAAAATTATTATGCAAATGTTAAAGTTAAACCATTTTATGTCAAGTTTATATCATTTATATTATCAACCCTCGGAATTAAGGTCAGCATTCGGCATTTCTGAAAGTGTTTGAGGTCGGCAAAAAATTGCCAACCTTGTTTCTATGTTTTGTGGTCAGACCTTTGTATCAAATAATTTTTGCTGACCTGATGCCGACCTCAAAAAGATTGAGGTCGGCAATAATTTGCCAACCTCATTTTTCCTAATTCCGAGGGTTGTATTATATATCAAGTTTATACCATTTTTATTATATATCAAGTTTATACTATTTGAACAATTTTTTTTCAATTATAAAAAGAAAATATACTTTCACTCATTTTTCTTTTGAGATGTGGCACATTTTCTTTTGAAAAAAACATTGTTGTCCAGAAGATGTTTTTTAGAAGACGGTATTTTAACAAGAGAAAAAACAATCAATTTAGGCACGCAGCATATATTATCTAAATTTAGCCAATAGTACTGTTGGGTTGAATAATGTGGATGCATGAGCTCAACATAAAATCATTATTCTCTTTATCAATTTTAGAAGCTGTAACAACTTACTAGTACCAAGCCAAATAAAGTTTGTTGCATTTACAAATTCGGTATTGAATATCATGACTTTTTTAACAGTTCCATAATTTTTTTAATTAGGAAAATGTTAGAGCAAAACCATCATCATCAGGTACCCTTTTTATCTTTGTGGTGGAAAGAGAAGATGTAAATTGATAGTAACTTTTTGTCCCAGTAGCAGTTGTTGCTATAGAAATTCTAATAATAAGTTTGTTTTGAACTAGCTTCATTTATTCAGTAGTGACTCACACAAACATGATCCCACTGATTGACTTTTGACATTATTAAAAAATTTAATTTAGCAGATAACATTTGATCTGTGGTTAGACTATGAAAGCTAGCAGTAGCAACAAGCATTTTATAGTGCTACATATGTGATTTGATGCTGTTCAACCACATCAGGGTATACTATGGCGCATTTTTTGTTGCATAACAACTTAGTCATTTGAGTTTTAATTTTGAAAACTGATAACTCTTTCACAGTTTTTCTGATAAACCAAGATTTCTAAGTTTCTAACAATAGGCAGTTGCTGCTTTTTGTTAGAAACTTCAAGATTTTTTTTTATGCATTCAAAAAAAATTCAAAAAAAAATGTTTACTTTAATTTGAATTTTCTTAAGAACTTCTATAACATTTGCTGCGCAAGATTCAGAAACATCCAGAAAAGTTGCAAGTTTCTTAGTAATTACTTCTTTAACTTGATTTGTTTTTCTCTCTCCAATTAAAGGTTTGCTTGAGGTTTTGAGTAAATGAACCTTTAGAGGAGACGATTCTAGTTCACACTTTTTTTTGAGCAATGATCTTCTTGATTTCATCATAGTTTGGTTTTCATGTCAACTTCATTTTGTTCCTATACTTCAACTGATACTAATTTATTTATGCATTATTCACCTAGTACTGCAAATTTGATTTTACTACATTGAGACCTATCCAATTTGATTTAACAAAGACTGTCTGTAAAATAAAATGAGTTCTTTTAATATTTTATCAACATATTTTTCCGTGCAATGGCCTTGTTTAGTTTGTCTCTCAGAGTTATAAGTTGAGAGAGAGTTAAATAAAAATCAGCCTCCTCAACTAAAGGGACTTTGGCCTCAATGATCAAAATATATTTATAAAAAATAATTTAAGGAAAATCTTTTTTTAGAGGTTACCTTAAAATTAGCTTTAATTTTAGCAAAAATAGAATTTGGCTGAATCTCATTATTGTAGTTCTCAATACTTTCACAATACAAATTTAAGAAATAAAAGTTGTCACTGCTATAAGCATTTTTTTTTAACTTTGTTATGGGTTTTCAATATATTGCAGCATCATGTTGATTTAGTTGCATAATGCTTCAATTGAATATATTTATGAGACAAATTGTTAAGTTAGCATTAATTATTGTTACCCTGTTCTCAACATTAACATTTTTTCTGGAATATTTTTTAAAGATTCCATCCCAAACAACAGTATATTTGTTGTTAGATGGCATTCACTTTCTAGTTTAAATTCAACTGAGCATTATTGACTGTTTACCATGACTAAGAAACTTAAACACTAAATAAGACTTTATGCTTTATACATCGTATAAAAGGTATTTCTTGTTTTTTATAATATAGTTTTAAACATGCAACATTCTGCAACATTCATTGAAAAAGTTATATATTTACACTTTTACACATTGATATTCTTTATTTAATATAAGGATAATCTCTTCTATGTGAAAATTGTGAACCCCTAGAGAGTTAGGTAACTCCAGAAATGTGTGAAAGAGTAACCTATGATGACAAAACAAGAAAAAATCTAGTGAAATACTATAATCTATAATAACAAAACAAAAAAGTAGTTTTGACCATTTTAAAATTAAAAATTGATCATAAAAAATTTTAAATTCTATTATTTTCTTTTTATCTTTTAAATAGGATTTAACAGTTTCAAAAATGGTTGTTGATGACCATTTTTTTTACTAGAACTTCTACTAGTTATGGAATAGTTTTGCTAAAAATCTATCATGGATAATGTAAGCCAAAATATGGAGTTTATTGTCTAAATTTCAAAATCTTTATTGTAGTTCAAAAGACCAAAACAATGTTTTATATTAAGATAACTGAGTTTCTAATCTTTTATTTGAAAAGAATTTTGAATTCATAAAAGTTTGGAGTTGATAAAATTACAAGCCATGGTAACAGAACAGAGAATTTGACTTCACCATTAAATTAAAATTTTCAAAAAATCTAAAATTTTAAATTCAATTATCTTTTTTCATCTTTGGACTCAGCACCCACAAAGTTAATTAGGTGTCAATTTGTAGCTTAAATGGCTTATTATAAGGTACAACTAAAAAATCCATAATAAGAGATTGGTTAAAAAATATGTATTTGGAAGTACAGCTTTTATTTATTATTTTTGTTTAATTGATAAGTACCAATTTAAGTCAAAAAATAAGTACCAAATCAAATCAAGAAAATTTTAGGTGGTAAATAGAAAGTTTAATTTTTTTTTTTACTTTTACACAGAATTGTCCTATAATAAGTCTATAGTTTAGCATTTTTGTTATGCAAAATATCATATCATAGCAATTTGTGATTGTTGTATTTCGTTTTTGAAAGAAAAATTTATTTTGATTTAGCTCAAACAATTATTCTGACAATAGACTACAAATTAAGGTAACTTTTTAGTGTTGTAATATTTTTAAAAGTTATTAACTTTTTTTTTTTTTGTAAATTTACGAAAGAAAAAGTATAAATTTTCTATAAATTAATTTTATAATAAATTTTAAATTAAAAAAAAGTAAATTAATCTATTAATTTTTTTGATAATTTTGTTTGTTTTTTATTATTAAACTAAGTTAAATACATTTTTTCAATAAATGCTGCATTAGGCTTCATAATTAAATAACCATCTGCAAAGTACATACATCAACTTGGTAGTTAAAATTTATCTCCATACTTTTTTTTGTTGCTTCAAAAAACATACCAGAAAGTATTGAAATAAATAAATACATATTTAAATTTTTAATTTTAAATTCTTCTTAACATATTAAATTCTTAGTCAAATTCTTGTTCAATTCCAATAATAACTAAAAAATAAAAATATGATTAAAAAGAATATATACATTTTTTATTTATATTTATAGAATATTTAAAGTAAATATTTAAAATACTTATCCTTAAATTTAATATAAAAAAATATATTTTTACATCTTTAATATACAAAGTTGTTGAAGTCAAAAAAGAAATTTTAAAACAAAGAATAAAAAAACATGTTAATGCAAAATTGAATTTAAAAAAATAATACCCTAACAGCCAATGTATGCACTCAAGCCACTCTCTATTTTTATTTTAATCTGACACCATCATCATGAGATATTAATTAAAAGTTTGAATAAAAAATTTTTTTAATCTTAAATATTATAACAAGTATATTTGTATTTATATTAAATAATTTAAAATTTAAATGTTTTGATTATTTACTTTTATGTTGCTGGTATATCTTATTACTTTATCTTATTAGGTGTTTGATTTCTTTCAAAAATGAATTTTTATTTATTTTTATTTATTAATTTATTTTTAAGAACATCAAATCCTTTCTGGCTATATCTATGTTTTCTATATTAGATATCTAACTAATATTCTGAGAGTTTCATTGATTCGCAATCACTCTAGCCCAGGAATTACCTTTTTCTGGGTATTTCCGGAAGTCCTGATATTTTTCTCAACTTTTAGTTTTTCCAGATATCCAAAACTTTTCCTTTCATACAAGTTTAGGTGTATGTTTTTGTAATATTTTTATTTTTTAAGCTTTTTCACTCATTACTCATACAAAAAGTTTGAAAAAAACAACTTAGCTAAAAGCAAAGTTATGAAGAAAATATTTAATGGATATTTTACCCAAACAATTTCCGGATTTTTAAAACATAGTCTAGATGATCTATGCTCTAGCCTATCATAAGGAACATATCCTAGCACATTTATATATTATATAAACAGTTTATGGCCAAAAAAATCTGACCAATCATAATTGTTATAGATAATTTTTTATTTATTTGTGTATTACGTGGATGATTGCATAGTTATCAGCCAATAGGTAAATATTTTATATGCATTGGTCGCCATAATTTTTGAAATATCCAATGATTAGATTGTTAAAATACGACAATATGTCATGTTTTCAGGCAATATACAAGTTAATGTTTGCTGACCACCAAACTCACCCTGTGATCCCCAATACCTTTCACTATCTGTTAAGCTGGTGCAAGGTATTGGGAATCTTACTAATAAGCTGTTAAATGTCTAACAATGTCAAAAGTTGTGCTGGTTTACATCTTTTACAGTAGGATTTTACTGCATTTGAATTTTTGAATTTTACTTTGAAGTTGTTTGGAAGTTTTTAGGAACAGATTTATATTTTCATGCACAAAAAGGCATCTTGCCATCGTGTGAAAATTGTCAAAATATGGCTCAAAAATATTGCTCTATGGCAATTTATGATCATGTATGATATTTTTTGAATTAAAATGTTTGTAATAATTACACTTAAAATACTTTTACACTTAAAATACTTTTGTAATAATTACACTTAAAATACTTTTAAAATACTTAAAATAATTACTTAAAATACAGTGCAAAAATGGCTTTTTGCTATAAGTATTGAATGGTTTGATTTTTTTGGCTGTAACTGTATATGTATTTTACACTTATTTTACAATTTTGCACCTACCTGACATTAGACAGTTCAGTTGAAACAAATAATGTTGCATTTATGGTTTATTTATGAACCATAAATGCAAATGCAAATTAGAATGTCAGAGATTTTTGTAATTTAAATTTAAAAATTTATTAAAAGTTTACATGGAAATTTTCAAATTTTAAAAGAGATTAAAATAAAAATTATGTAATTTACAAATTTAAGTAACAACAATTCAAAAAAATAAGCTTTGTTCATAAAATAAGGGTGTTTGTTTATTAAATGTTTTATAGTTTTTTGCTTTTTTGTGATGAAGATTCTGCATCCTTATCAAATTGGCATATTGTTTACTATGTTACCCATGTTATCAGCATCAAACAAACAAATACTTCTATACCCTATTTTCTCTTACTTTTTTACAAGTGTTGTTGATAGTTTTTAGATATAATGAACAACAAACAAAATAGTTTAGGATTCCGAAATGTTTGAACTGATTCCAAATGTTCGAGTTGATTTTAACTGTAAGTACCAATATAGTTTGAAAGGCTTATACCTAGCTACTTTAAAAAAAATTGGCTTGGTATCCAAATAATGATAACAATGAAAACATTAATATAAGTAATAAACAAATTGTTTAAAAATGTTATAGAGTGTTTTTATCTTTTATTTTTAAATAGAATCATACAAGTTATGACAAAAAAAGTTTGAGGTAAGTAAAATCTAGTGTGTTTATTTAGTATTTAATTAATATTATAATTTATTTGTTTGTTTATTGTATTTTTTTATTTAATTAGTTGTTTTCTATGAAACCAGGATATCAATATTTCCAAACTGTGTTAAAATTCTCTTGTTATGTGATATGTGCTACGCACAGTGGCTTGCCATACTATTAGATTTAATGAAATAATATTAATTTAATTTTGACATTTTGCCTTTATGTTTCAAATGTGGTGGAATAACAACTTTTTTTACTCTGGTAATATTTATTAACATATATTACCAATTATCCCCTCTAACAATTGTTTATGGTTTTCAGAAAATTAGTTAAGTAGTTTATTGAGTTGTTTTGATCAATTTTTTCACTGAAATGTTTTGTTTTGAAGCCAGGGTTTAAGTGTCAAAAAAGTTTATCTTACTTTGTAAAGATATGTTTATAATATTTGTTTTGTTTGAAATATTTTTGCATATAACATTTTGCTTATCTTTGGGAAGGATTTCTGATATTTCTCCATATAAATTGGAAGAAATTTGTGAATTATTGAACAGTACTGAAATGTCTCAGTAAATGGTGTCATGGTCAGTTATAAATTTTCAGTCATGGTGTGATCATTTATAAATTTTCAGGGCGCTGGATAACTTTAAATTGTCAAAGACACCATGGGTCAAAATTAATATTAGCAAATTCTTCAAGATAATCTGTTGTCACAATTGAGAGTTATTCCTCAATGATAAAGTATATATTATGATGTAATATATCATGATTACTTGTGGCACGATGAAGCCCTGTGCCACAAGTAAAAAAAAAAAATGATATTTTGGACTGGCCTGAAAATTCTCCAAATATGAATCCAATTGAGAATGTCTGGGAGTTCTTGAAATAAATAATGGCTTAAAATGTGATTAATACAAAGCAAGAAAAGTTTTTAGAAAAGCTCGTATATGTGTGAAATCATAGCAAGGAGTAGGGGGGCTCAAAAAAACAAAATTTTTCATAATGCTTTTAGGTAGAGCAGAAAATTTGTCTCTACACATAGGTAACTTCTGTGCAAAATTTCTTCACTCTAGTACAATGTCTTCTGTTAAGGCAAGGGACATGAAATTTCAAGAATTTATTAAAATATCTATATATTTATATATTTTTAAAGATATTTTTTAAACGTCACAGCACTTTGTGCAAAAAATGTTAATTACTGTGGAAAATTTCACGCCCCACAGACAATATGTTCTGTTTTGGTAAAGAGTCTGAAATTACGCAAAAAATTCATTGCTGTTTTATTATACTTTTATTTTTTATAAAAGTCAATTTTTTTAACGTGATTTCAAAACCAAGTACATATCTCAATTGGAATAGATGCACCAGTTTCTATTCTTTTTTTGATTTCTTATGTTTTAATATTGTTAATCTTTTGAGACAGTAACTTTTTGTATTATACGCAAGTGTACAGTACATTAACATTATAAAATTAAAGTTTAAAAATTAATTTGTATTTTTTATGATCCTTGAACAAGTCAAAGTTGCTATTTTTTCTTGAAATTTTCTTGGCTTATACGCGAGCATATGCGGTAATAAATATTATTTTAGCAGATTATCATTATTAATTAATTAACCAATAATTATTTACAACTAATAAATTATTATGTTATTGCTTCAGGTCATGAGTAAGAAAAAAAACAGCAGTGAGAAAACAATATGTTATTTAAATGTTTAATTTACAAAAGGTGGCGTCTTGGATCTGAAACAACTGGTAAAAAGGAACTCACATTTTCTTCCATATCACTTTTCATTTGTAAAAAGCTGCAACTGCTTTAAATTGCAACATGTTATTGATATATTTGATGCATATCACAAATCTTATATCGATATCAAGTCTGTTTATAAAATCTTATATCGATATCAAGTCTGTTTATAAAAGAATAGAGAAAAGCATGACAACTAAAGCACGAGTTACGAAGTTTAAAGAAGAATCACACTTTCTTTTTGATATAGCAGGTTGTAAGTGTTCTACGTTTACAGACTGCAATTGCCCAAAAGAATCCAAGGTCCGCTTTAAAGAACAAACATTTCTTACTGATCAGAGAACAAAGCGCTTAATGTGAATTGGATCACTTGATTTGCAAGAAACTAAAAAGCTCCAAACACGTGCTGAGAGGAGGACAAAAGAATTCTTTCAAAGTTTAAAATCTACTGCGTTTTGCTTATCACAGTCTAATGGTGATAAGCCTTCATCATCATCAAGTTTCTGTAAAGAATATGAGACAATGAATGAGGATAAAGTATTTAAACCTGATGACTACAACTATAATCCCAGACCATTGAGTTCATTCTTTTCACAAATGCGTATGAAACTTATTAACGCTGCCTTAATAAGTCAAAGATTTGGGGTATTGCTTCAAGCCACGGCTGCCATAGCTACTAGTGTTTTACATGACGTAGGCCTAGTCAGTAAATTGGATACATCTTTAGTGATTGATAAGAATAAAATTGCTAGAGAGAGGTATGAAACCATGAAAGAACTTAAAAGTGAAAGTTCAAACACTGATAAGGATCATTTATTAGGTCTTTACTTCGACAGCCGATGTGACAAAACATTGTCAACAGGAAAAGATAATGATAAATACTACCAAAGAGAAATTATAGAGGTGCCCTATTCCTTGGTGAAAGAACCAGGATCTTGCTACGTTAGCCATGTTACACCAGCATCAGGAACTAGTCTAGCCATTTCTGAAAGTGTTTACAGCTATACCACAGCAGAAGTGAGCAAAGGTTTAAACAATGTTCTTGTTATAGGGTGTGATGGAAGGGTTGTAAATACTGGAAATCAGTGCAATGGGTTGTTTATCAACTGTATTTTAACAAATTGTCTCCTCGCCACTTTTTGAACTCCTTGATTGACCTACTTCCTACACTGGTTACATTGGAAAATCTTTAAAGGCATGTGAGCTGCTTCCAGTGGTAACATTTGAGCCAGTTAACTGTACCTTGCTATCAGTTAATATACCAAATTTAAGGAAAAACCAAAGGTATTTAAGGGAAATTGCTCTCGCCATTAGTTCAGGCATATGTTCTCCAGGTCTTGCTGAGCAAGATCCAGGACCCCTAAATATATCACGCTGGTTGACAACAGCCAACAGAATATTGAGATTGTATATTTTCACTGCAGAACCATCAAATAACTTAAATACTGTAGTAGAGTTTGTTCTCAGAGTGAATGCTTTCACATCAAAATCCATCATTCAATTAAGGATGGAGCGTGGCATCTTTACAACTTAATTCAATCATCCAGATACTTAGATCAAGTTAACCGCAACTTCATTGATCCAGTAATTTCTTGGAATGCTTACTTTGCATCTCCAGAAAACATTCTGCTTGCAATGCTAACTGATAAGAGAACACATATTAGAACCCTCGGCCTATGAAGAGTGATAAAAGCACGAGAATTCATTGAGATGGTTGGAAACGTTGGGACAAAAAAATTTTATATTCCGAAAATAAACTTTGAAGCGAATGACTACATCAATCTAATTGACTGGTCGTCAACAAAGTTACTCCACCACCAGTACTAAATAATGTAACTACAGAAGATTTGCTAAAAGAACCAATACCGATTAGCTGGACTTTTACAAAGTTCCCATGCCACACATAAGCTGCAGAAAGAACAGTAAAATTAGTTACAGAGGCCTCAAAAAAAGAGTGTGGACATAATAAACAGGACGGATTTATTTGCTCCACTCTAAAATTGAGAAAGACCATGTCTGAGTTTAGTTACAAGAGTAGTACAAAAAGAGACAGTACAATACCTAAAGACCTTGCAAAACAACCATTTTCATACTCTTAATTTTATATACTTATTTTCTATAATATAACTTTATTTTTCTATAATAGTATGCAATTATATAATTTATATGTAAGTGTATAACAGTTCAAGTTTATGTTTCATAAATTTTAGTTAAATAATGAAAAAGCAGCAGATTTTTCGATTTTGGTGTAATTTTAGGCTCTTTGCCAGAACAGAAAAAATTTTATGTGGGGTGTCAAATTTAGTACAGTAAGTAATCATACACACGTACAGCTCTTGCAAACTACTGCAAAGTGCTGTGACGCCTGAAAAATATTTCTAAAAATATATAAAAAATGGATATTTTACTAAATTTTTGAAATTTTAGGTCCCTTATCAGAACAGAAGACATTGTACTAAGATGTTGAAATTTTGCACAGAAGTTATTTATGTATAGAGTCTTCAGCTATACCCTGAAAGCATAATTAAAGAAAATTTTTTTTCGAACCCCCTAGCAAGGAGTTCCAAAAAACAGTCAAAAACTGTATTTTCTTTTGTTTATGTACACTAAATATAGTTTTTGGTTAAATATATGGCTTTGTTTATTCTAGTTCCATATGTAAAATAACAACATAATAAATCAAAAAAACCCACACATAGCTCAATATAACAGAGAAATATCAATTTTTTTGTATGAACTCTAATAATAGTCACTATATATTTGTATGAACACTAATAATACCACTGTAAGTAGAGTCACTGTATTATGTAGTATATCAAAATATTATCACTGTATATTGAGGATACAAATTTAAAAAATTTTTAAGTTAGTTTTTCAAATTTAATTTTTTTTTAAATGTATTTGACAAATATAAATTTAAAATTTATAAACAGATTTTTTTTTCTTTGTTTATTTATTTTTATTTATAAACGATGCTTTTGTATTTCTAAACGATATCTATAAATAATATTGGTTCTTATAGTTTTCATTGATTTTGGTTAAAGTTTAAGTAATTATGTGATTTACTTAATGTGTATTTAAAGATACTTAATAAAGAAAAACTGGAATCAGGTTGTTAGTTGCAAAAACGCAAATACATCCTGCAATCAATTAAAAAGTTTTTAAACACAATAATAAACGCATAATGTCTTTTTAGTTATCTTATTTTAAGTTTAATTAGAGATTTGATTTATAATAAATGTTGTTGGTGTTGGTAAATAAACGATAGGGGGCTCTATATATTATAATAATTTGAGCTTCTATTTAGAAAAACTTGTGGTTGGGCAAATTTTGGTATTCAGCAATTTTCTAAGTGTTGTTGTCCAAAGTTCCAGGAAGGGTTAGTCAATAAATGTGATTGTCACAATTTTGTGTTGGGTTCTGAATTTTGTAAAGATGTATGTGTTTTCTATCCAAAACTTGAGGTACTTAATATTTGTCTTTAAGTTAGTTTTATTCAATCAAAAATAAATTTTTAGCTTTTGAATCAATTTAAATTTTTGTTTTTGCATGCATTATTAAATTACCATTATATATCATGAATTATTAACTGTACCTGTCAAAACCTTTCAACCATTGTTTTATATCTTCACCACAAGTTAATTTATTGAAATATCAAATATAATAGTTTATTTGAACCATTTTTTGCTTTTTTTTTATAGTATATTTATATATATATATATAGGTATATATATATATGTATGTATATATATATATATATATATATATATATATATATATATATATATATATACATATATATATATATATATATATATATATATATATATATATATGTATATATATATATATGTATATATATATATATATATATATATATATATATATATATATATATATATATATATATATATATATATATATATATATATATATATGTATATATATATATATATATATATATATATTTATATATTCACATCTCCATGGCAGAGGGCTGTATCAAAAACAAAATGCCTCTATATCTGTATCAAAGATATAGAGGCATTTTGTTTTTGATATTTTTAACTCTCTTTTAACCCTCTAACTTCTAAATACAAACCTTGTTCCAAAAGGTCCTTTAACAGGACTGCTGCACAGATAAACAAATTGAGCCCAATAGTATCACTGATTTCTACCAATTTAACAGTTTGTAATAAATTCAACACTTATTACAAAAAGTTTAAAAAGCGTATTACTTACTCAGAAAGTTAAACATGTTATCTTGAAACTTATAACTTGCATTACATCATACATTACATCATACATTTCTGTACAATAATTATGAATAGTTTTCTCTAAAATCTGCTGTAAAACAAAAGGATTGAAATCAGAGATTTCAATATTTACATCTTTTTGTTTTGTTTTACAGCTGACTTGTTATTTGTTAATTACAAAAAGGTTCTATCATGCATTAGATGGTGAGTGAGACAAGGGTTCTTGATATATCAAAGATTTTTGTTAAAGTTATATGAAGTCTGGAATGCTGGTTTTCTCCATAAGCTTATTTTATATGGTGTATATGGTGAAGTTTTTAAAATTGTTGAATCATTACTATCTAAACGCAGTGTTAAAGTTATTTTTTAAGGCCAGAACTCTTTTACTTCCAGTTACTTCAAAGATACCAAAAGGTTCCATCCTTGATCCTAAACTGTCTCCTATCTATGTTAATAATATTTCTGACAATCTCACATCTAAAGTCTATTTGCTGATGACACTAGAATATTATCTTGACAGTCTTGACAAAGAATCAAGCTTTTTGATTGCTCAAAACGCTGATCTTGAATCTGATTTTTCTTCTTTTACAGATTGAGCTTGAAGTGAATTGTGATTGGCTTGTGAATTGTAACTGCATTCTCTACTATAAGTGGCTGAGCTTGAAGTGAATTGTAACTGCATTCTCTACTATAGGTCTTTTTGGATTATTATTCATTATTGGTCTCTCATGGAAATCATATATATATATATATATATTTAATTATCTTCGCTTCCAACAAGGCTGCAAGCAACCACTAATTAGTGTTGGAAGTTACTGGAAGAGAAAATATGAAGATTGTAGAGCAAGATAACGATTGACAGACGACTTAGAAGATTGCAAATTATATGAATCAGGAAAGCAAGATGAAGGAAGCGAATTCCAAAGAACTGATGTTCGAGGAAAAAAACTAGACGAATAAGAGTTTTTGGAGCACTTAGGAACAGTAACAGAAAAAGGATGAGACTTAATTGAATGACGAGTAACGCGAGAATGAATTTTAGTAGATGGCACAAGAGATGCTAGCTCTTTCAAGCAGTGCCCCTTATAGTATTTGTAGAAAAGAGAAAGAGAAGCAACATTACGACAATGTGACAGAGGTTGAAGGTTCGCTGCAAGAGCAGGTCCAACTATGTTTACAATGCGTTTTTGCACCTTGTCTAAAAGAGAAAGGGCATCATTAGAAGATTCGCCCCAGATATGGCAACAGTATTCCATACAAGGCCGGATTTGAGATTTATAGAGATAGAGAATAGAATCCAGAGTAAGAAAGTGACAAGCTCGATAAAGAGAAGCAACTTTAGCAGATGCTAATTTTGCAACGGATTTGATATAAGGTTTCCAAGAAAGATCAGAAGTAAGAGTTAATCCTAGAAGATAAAGGGTAGGAGACTCATTGAGCACATCACCGTTCATAAATATAGGAAGGTCCAAACCACTGCGATAATGATTGGCCGAAAAAAATTGAGTTTTATCTGAATTAAAGTTCACCAGCCACTGTGAGCCCCATGCTGTAGCAGAAGTGAGATCCTTTTCAAGCTCAGATGCCCCCTGCAAGCAATCAGAGGGAGTTGGCTTCCTATTGTGACAAGAATAAATGGTAGTATCATCAGCGAACAATGCCACCTTAGATGTGAGAATATCTGGAAGATCGTTAATGTAAATTAAAAAGAGTATAGGGCCAAGGATTGAACCTTGAGGAACCCCTGAGGTTACAGAATAAGAAGAAGAGTGCTGCCCATCAAGGACAACTTTTATACTACGATTGGAAAGGAAGGATTCAATAATCTTAAAGATGTTTCCAGATTCACCGTAAGAAGAAAGCTTATGGAGAAGACCAGCATGCCAAACTTTATCAAACACTTTAGAAATGTCAAGAGCAATGGCCTTAACCTCTCCACCTTTATCTAATGCGTGATAAAACCTATCGGTTATTACTGTCAGCAAATCAGCCGAAGAACGAGAAGATTGAAATCCATTTTGATGATCAGAAAGTAGGTTATGATCCAAAAATATTAGTAGCTAAAAATTCATTAAAAAAAAAAAATTACAAAAATCACACCATTTGAAATTAGCTGTGGGCAAAACCATGGAGGAGACTGAAGCTTGAGTTAAGAAAAACATAAGTAATAAAAGTTTCTATGTTGTCTGTACCCAGAAGATTATAAAAAAAGTCTAATTTCAGCAGAGAGACCAAAGACATCAATCCAAAATTCAGAAACAACTTTGAAATGAGTGCAGTTTTGAGAGCAATGAAAACAATATGTGATTAAGTCCTAAATCAAAACACTTATATATATATATATATATATATATATATATATATATATATATATATATATATATATATATATATATATATATATATATATATATATATATATATATATATATATATATATATATATATATATATATATATATATATATATATATATATATATATATATATATATATAGTATATATATATATATATATATATATATATATATATGTATATATATATATATATATATATATATATATATATATATATATATATATATATATATATATATATATATATATATATATATATATATATATATATATATATATATATATATATGGAATTTAAAGCTGTTTTAGGACAAATAGGTGTTTTGATACATGAGTATCTGCCCAGAGCTAATAATTGATTTATTAGCTCTGGGCATTCTATTGAATGTCTATTTTTAAATTAGTTTTTTTTTTTTAATTCTTTTTAAAGTTTAAATAATAGTAATTAGTAGAGTATCAAGTTTAATTCATATATTCAGATATATCCATATATATTCATATATACATATATTCATATATCCATATATATTCATATATTCATATATCCATAAATCCATATATATTTATATATCTGAATATATATTCATATATATTTATATATAAATATATTCATATATCCATATATGTTCATATATATTCATATATACATATATGTTCATATATATATACATATATTCATATATACATATATTCATATATAAATATATTTTATATACATATATTCATATATTCATATATGTAGGTTTGTTAATTTTATTTAAGTTAAATATAACAAAAATTTTCATTGAACTTTAAATATTAATTTTTTTTTTGTTAGTGGTAGTTTTTTATGTTATTAGAAGTTTATTTTTAAGTAAATAGTTAATTTTTTATTATTTACTTTGATAATAAATTTTTGATATTTGATATTTTCAAGTTGTAATAGTTGCTGAAATTTACCAAAAGCATTAAAGATATTTTATGTTAAATATTCAAAATTTAACGTTATTTGTAATAAATTTCAAAATTTTAATTAATATTTTAATTTTACAGCAAACATCTTTATTATAGAAATATTATGTTTAATATTTAAAAACAAACTTCTATAAAGTTAAAATAAAGTCTCATATTATGTGTGTATTTATGTTGAAATTATTTCTTTTTCTTTTTTTGCATTTTTTTCAAGAAATACAAAAAGAAATATAAAGACCTGAAAGCAAAAAAGATGAATTGTTTAGAAGAATCAGCAAAATTAAATCACACAGAGTATTTTTTTTTGTTTTTTTCTTTCCTGATATCTCTTTTTTCAAATAATATTTATATAAAATTGTTGTTGTTGAGTTTTTTTTTCCCCAGCTGTTTTGACAGTTTAAAAGTGTCTTTTATGTGGTAATAACTGTTTATGAGACAAATACTGTTTTCATAAAGCAATTTTTGATTTCATGCAAAAAGTTGCTGTTACATAAAGTGATAATTTCTTGAAATAATGTGATATTTTATGGTGTACCATTTTTGCAATTAACAGAACATTGAATTAAATACTTTCTTCAAAATCTTAATTAAATAAAATTCTAATATTCACTTGTAAATTTGTATAAGAAAAAAATTCGCAAATATCTTTCAAAACTATCTTTAAAAAAATATATTTAAACATGTTTACAAATAAATTAAGTACTATTAAAATCAACTATTTTCATCAAGAAATAACTGGTTTTGTGAGCTTTTATAACCTGTTTTTTATGAGCTGATTCGTGAAGTTATATATTCGTGAAGTTATAAACTTTCCACAAAACTATTTTCATGTAATAATGACCGTTTTCATGTAATTGTAATAAATGATTTTTTTAATGATTGTTTTCATTGAATAGTAATTATTAAGTGATAACTATACACACATACAAATATTTTATTAATATTACATTGGGGCCATAATATTACCTTAGCCATGGGTAAGATAACTTACTTGGATGGTGATCCTCTTAGTGGCAGTATCACAATTATGATTTCAATAATATTTCTTTATGTTCAGTTTACATTGTGAAGAAGATGTATGATACTAAACCTAATGTCACTAGACCAACAAGAAAAATGCAAGATATGTAAGGATCACACAAATGATATATTGTACCCAGAATCCAGGAGATCTTCAATGAAGATCCAGAAAAATCAATGTGCTTTATAACAAGAGAACTGAATATATCAGAGGCAACTTTTAGCACGATGTATACATAGAAAAAGGCCTGTTTTTGACACATCAGACAAAGGAAAGGCAATTTGAAAAAGCAAGAAGGCTGTGCAAAACTGAAAAATATCAAAGAAAAAAGTTCTGTATATTAGCCTGTGTGATTTGTAATAAAAGTCAAAATTTAGGAACACTATATTTGTCAATCTTTGTTATTTGCATGAAAATGATAATATTTAAAGTTTCATCTTCAAAAGTTATGTACAACAGAGTCATTTTGATTTTTTTCATGTAAAATACTACTCATTAAATTTTTATTCTGCCCAGAAATTTAGACAAAAATTTATTTGGAGTCAAAGACATAAGCATTTAAATCATATTTAGAAACAAAACACTCAGATGCATTATCTTGACTCTCTGAAATGACCACAGGTTATTCTGTAACATATTTTTTTATTCTGTATTCCTTTTCTTTCTCATTCTTTTCTCATAAAAACAACATCAAAATTATTAAAATTGTATTCTACATACAAAAAAATGTTTGAAAACTTTAATTTAACTTTCAATTAATCCTTTTCTTCCCTTCCTAAAGGATCAGAGAAGAAAAAGAAAGATGAATCATCTTTCTTTTTCTTCTCTGGTCCTTTAGAAAAATTAAATCTTGTACCTTTTCATGATCTCTATTCTCTCCTTAAAGTCGGATCTGGAATGTTGTATAACTTATCAAACTCTTCTAACAAATTATAATGAATTGATTGTATTCTTTTCTTGATTGAACTTTTGACATTCAGAACATATTTATGTATTCTTCTGCATTTAGGAAGCTTTTTCCTAAACAAAATTGATAACTTTTTTTTAGATGTTCAAATTTTAAAACATAAAATCTTCAAATGATTAATGTTACACAGGAACAAAATGTTGAAAATAATGAAAAATAATGACATAAAATAATGACATTATTACAGAATTGGTCTGAATTGCACCTTCAAATACAGCTTTCTTCCAAACTCCCTTCATCATGCAGTTGTTTCTATTCTCCATGACACACTTGTTGTCTTGGCAAATTAAGTCAAATGCTGTTTTCCTGAACATAACTTATATTTTCTGTGCAAAGCTAGAATTTATAGCTTCTGTCTGATTAAATGTCTGATTGAATAGGTAATAATGATATATGAAATGTTTAGTAAAATTTTATTTTTAAAACTTTTTTCTTTAACTTTAAAAAGCTATAAAAACAGAATGGTTTAAAAAATATTTAAAAAAATGCTCTGACCTAGATGTATTCAAGCAAGCTCCACGAATAATTGAACAAAATTGGTTTTATGAAACAATAATTTTGGTTATCCTTTTATGTGTGTGTGTGTGTGTGTGTGTGTGTGTGTGTGTGTGTGTGTGTGTGTGTGTGTGTGTATTATTTGCTAGGCAAAGGATAAAGTAATTATAAAAAATTATTTTTCTTTAGTATACATTTAACAAATCTCAATAAGCTTGATGTAAGAAATAGTGACATATGTCAGGTAAGTCAAACTTGTTAAAAATAAATTTTAAAAATTTATTGAATTTAGTAACATTTAAATGTTTAAAGTTATTTTTTTTTTGTTTTTTGTTTTTTAATATAGATTTTAGATATTTTTATAAAATGTTTACAGATGTTTTTATTGTAATTTTTCAGCACAAAAGTAAAATAAAAATCTTAGGTACCATTTCTTAAGGTACTATCTCTTAAGGTACCATCTCTTAGGTACCATCCTCTAGAAATTGGAATCCTTCATCAAAATAAAAATAGTTTTGTATCAGATTAATAATGTTCAGCAATTTTAATATTTTTTTGTAGCATTACAAAATACAAAGTTTAATATATTTGAATTAAATTTTAAATTAAAACATCAAAGAATAAAGTTGTAAATGCATTTAGAGTGTTATGATGTATGGTAATTATGAAGCGGGTTGATTTTGAAAGGGACTAAGTATGATAAAATGGAAAAATGGGTTTATGACTGTGATTGAAATAAATATCAGTTAAATATATTATTTTAGGTTGAAGTTTATGCATATATAAAATATATGCGTAAATTATCATCATTATCATTTTAGCTTCCTTGTTTTTGCAATTGCATGTGTTGAATGTTACTTATAAAGCTGTTTGTAATGCACTCCAAGTTTTTTTATTCCTACCTCTACCTTTTTCTTTTGAAACTGCTACCTCTCTGCATACCTAAACTACCATATTATTCTTTGATACACACGATTCCCAATCTGTGTCTTAAATCATTGATTTTTTTAAATTATTTAAAGTCACACTATACATCCATCTGACGTTTAGAGTTATTTTAAAAGATAAAAAAAAATAATCGTGATCTTCTTTGTTAAAAAGAATAAAATTTATATTAAGTACTGAAACAGATAAAAAATTGCTGTAAATTTAAAATCTTGGAGAGTGCTTTAAAGGTAAAATGTAGATTGAAGAAATGTAGATTGACATGTATATTGACATTATGGCAAATATCTAACTCATTTAAGTATGAAAATATGGACATGGAGCATGTTCCCTAAAGTGGTGATTCATTTTTAAATATTTAATCTATAATTCAAAATATTAGTGCCAAACATTAATTTTTTTTTATAGTTAGGATTTAGTAGGAAATATGAAAGACAGTTGAAGAAAAGAAATCAGTCAATTTTGTAGAAATAAGGAAAACATGATAAGAAATAAGTGAGTTCTATATAATCTCAGAAAAATAAAACAACTTTAAAGAAAAAAATAATTGAAATCATCAAAACAGTTTTAAACAAATCATTCAAACAAATTAATTAAAAACATTTTTTTTTAAATGCAAAAGAAGTTAGTAATTTTAATTTTTAAAAATTTTTATGTGTGATTCCTAATTATAAAATAGTTCTTTATATTTAAATACTAATCAAATTTTGTAATATTAAAAGTGTTGCACAAGAATTACACAATTAATCACTCAGATTTCATGTTTTGTGTGAAATCTAAAAGTCTAAATTTTTAGTTTTTGGTGTTCAAAATTGTTAGGTCATCACTGGTAGATAATACTCTTTTAAAAAATGTTTAAAGAAGGATGGATGAATTTAACATCTTCTTAAAATGATTTCTAGAAATTAGCACTAATCTTTACTCAAGCAAGAAATCCATGACATCATTATTTGATATCATCATTTCCATGACATCACTATTTGATATGAATTCAATGTTATTCATTATTTGCTTTCACACATGAAATTGCAAGCTATGTCATTTATTAAACAAAAGTTTTCACTCTTTTGCATTTTTTTTTTAATCAAAATTTTTTGCGCAACATGATAAAAACATGACAACATGATAACAACATGAATACCTCTTATAGTTCTTGAACATTTTTTTCTGATACTAAAACAAAAATTTTTAATAGGTTAGGAAGTGGTCAAAATGCTAATGAGTTTTTATAAAATTTTGAATATAATTATTTGTTTTAACTATAGAAATCCATTTCTTCAGGATTTGTACACTCTTATTAAAGAGTTGGTTCAAATGGTAACACCATGGCAAAAGGTTTGTCTTGATTATGATACATCTTTGTCCTTACTGGATCTCAAAGATATCTTAAAGAAGTTAATAGATGCTACACATAAAGGACCTCAAAAAGATGCAGATCAAAATAAATACTTGGTTGAACATTATATGCATCTGTTTAACATCAGAAATATTGAATGGGTCTACACACATATGTACAATTTTTATGCTAAGTTTAAAACGTTGGAAAATGGTATTTGTACAATAAGAAATATTCTAAACATGAGTATGATTAAAATAGTTGATTTTTTAAATTTATTTTTTAATTTTTATTATTAATAATTTATTTTATTTATTTATTATCTTTATTATTTATTTTGTTTGATAACACCCTATAAATAAAATTTCGAACAAATTTTAATTGCATTTATTATGTAATTTATTTCATGCACACAAAAAACCTTTATACTTATTTGAAAGAGGATTTTATAATCTATTTAAATTTAATTTAATTAAGTTAAAAATATTATTTAATTATTTAAAATAACATGGTCAAAGTAAAGGACCTCGAAAAAATGATGGAAATTTTTTTCCAAAATAAACGAGAAAATAGAAAAGCATTTGTTGCTAAGCAGTTTATGGAATGGGGTTTATCCAGATCAACTGCTTACGATAAAATCGTAAAATTGGAGAATCTCTAATGGATCTCTAAAAAGAAAAGTTGGAAGTGGTTGAATCGCTACTAAAGAAAATATTCCAAAGATTGCTGCATTTTTTGAAAATAAATCAGGGTGTTTCCAAAAGAAAGTAGCTCAAGTTTTTAACTGTAGTCAAACTCGAGTTTCCCAAGTATTAAAAAAATGACTAACATTTGAACTTACAAATAAACAAATTTGTCAGATCGTAGCCATCAGCAGAAGAAAGCAATGCGTCCTAAATGTCGTAAATTGTACGAAAATTATAAAAACTTGGATTTTGTTATGGATGATGAAAGCTATTTTACCTTAAACAATAGAAAGCAGCCGTGACGCAGTGGTAGCGCACTTGCCTCAGAAACGTAAGATCCGTGGTTCAAACCCCACCTCTGGACAAGTTTTGCGACATCGGTCGGGAAGGAGGCGTGAACTTCCTATCAAATGCTCTTCCGCGGTGCTCTGTGATAAGACCGTAAGGACTTCTTAGGGCACCTAAATCAATATTTAAAAAAAAATAGCACATAAGCTTGTAATGATAAGTTTTATGCCGCTGATCCTTCTCAATGTTCTGACGAAGTAAGATACAATTTGCGTAAAAAGTACGAGGACAAGCTCTTGTTTCTTGTTGCATCAGCCCGTGTGGAATAAGCCCTCTTTATATTCATCACAGTAAGCAGGGAATCAACTAGTACACTTATAAAGAGATACTAGAAAAATCTTTACTTCCTCTAGTATCAGAATATTATAAAAAGACAATGAGTTTATCATCTGGCCTGATTTAGCTCGATCACATTACGCAAAGTCAGTCATTGACTTTTTAAAATTGAAAAAAATTAAAGTTGTACCTAAAGATATAAACCCAGCTAACGTTTCCAGAAGCAAGACCAATTGAAAACTTTTGGGGTGATTTAAAACGGCTAGTGTACGAGAATAATTGGAGAGCTGAAAATTTGGAAGAGCTTGAAGCAAGAATTAGATATCGCTAATTTTCCTTTCTCAAATAAAGTATCTTTCAAAAAAACTTCATAATATTGCTAAATATGGTATTTGAAATGATTTAAAATTTTTATAAACTGCATATACTAACATATTAACAGTTGAAATATTAAATAATAAAACTTATTAGTTCTTAAAATAATAATTTTTAAATTTTGTTCAAAATTTTTTTATAAGGTGTTATTTGACTTAAAAAAATAAATTTTGAATTTAAAAACTCAAAGAACTGTTTAGTTAAAGTTTTGCATGGATTAATATACATGAGTTTACTTATACATGTATACACAGTGTTATAAAATAGGTTCTAACCTTAACTTTCTGACCCGGGAAAACCCTTTGGCGGAATGATAGCCCTTACTATGGGGATCACTTAGATATAAGTATCAAAATCAGATTACAACGTCCTGGCAAGTTATTTACATTTGAATTTTCATCCTAGTTAACACAAAACGTGTTTTAAACGTTTAATATACGTATTGATACGTATTAAAACGTATTATAAACGTGTTAAACACGTCTTGCGTTTAATAAAATACTTTATTGATTGCACAAATATGCAATATGAGCGCTTATTTTCCTTTTTGTAGTATTAAAAATCTCCAATTTACATAAATATAAACAAGGAAAGCAAAATAATATATTCTTGAAGTTATACAAGTAACAAACATAAAATATATTCAGAAAAAAAGTTTCTTTTAAATGGAACAAATTCAAAAACAACTTATTCTCAAATCCCTTCTTAAAATGACTTTTCACAAACAATGTTTAGTATTGAAGTCAACAATGCAAAATTGCAACTTCTTACTGTATTCTGGATGATGATTGGGTCTTTTGTACCTTTGCCAATGTATCTGAAAGTTGTGATGCATTGCTTCTGTTGCCTGTTCTGAGTAAAGCCCAAGAGCCTGGCCATATCTGTCGATGAAATCTTTTACATGAAAAAATACTGCATGGACCTTGGGTGTTACAGACACATTTTGCAATGCCAGATAAGACACTCTGAATGCTTCAATTATTTGTGGGTAGTTTGGATTAAGGTTGCACCCAAAACAGCCAGATACTACCGCATTGAATTTTCGAAAAGCATCAATGAATGGGATGGCTGCATAGCATGAGTGTTTCTCAGCAATTGATTGAAGAATATCAATATTGTGTAGCAGCTTTCTGGACCCATTTCCTGCAAAATGTCCACCATGGTAAGGTTGTTGTTTAATGTGTAATGCATCAGACCAAAGAGTTACTCGAGGAAAAACTTGAAGCAGCGCAGCAAAAAGATGATTAAAAACTCCAATTAAGAGATGCAATTCCATGGGAGGAAGAAAATTCAAAACCAAAGTGTCTCCAGGTAGTTTAAATATTGGAGAATGAACAACATTTTTATAGTCACGAGCTTTTCTAATATTGGAACCAGCTGACTTGAAGAGTGAGACATTTTTTTCCAGAGATTCAAAAGTCCTCAATTTCCCTTGATTTACAAGTTCTTTTGAACCAGATTCACACCAGGTGCAGGGATGTGCACTTGAGTGTGCTTGAAGCCCACAAATTATATTAGCAAGTTTTAGATCACAGGACATGACAAACTCCTGGTCTTTCAATTTAATCAACTCAAATACTTGCAAAACGTTAGTATAACTTTCTTGAAGCTCCTCACAGACAGCAATGACTAGTTGTTGTTTTACACCAGTGTCCTTAAAAACCTTGCTTGTGCAGTTGATTTTTGCTGGGGGAATGCAAGGTTCATGATTTAATTCAATAATTCCCAGGGTAACTTTCAGAAACCCACCTCCTCCGTCAATTCCAACCTTTACAATGTGATTTTTTGATGTACTTCTCATGGCTATAATTTCATTTTTAAGCTCATGGAAGTTCTTGCAATGTATGACTGTCCTCACACATCCAGCGTGATCTTGAATTAATGAACTTGTGAAATGATGTACAAGTTGCTTGCTGAATTTGTCAAATTTTATGGCGTAATTTTTTTCAACAATCTGTTGTGAGGTTGACTGATTAATAGTAGCTGCTAACCTCTTAATGCCATTGTTTGAAAGCCCTGTGTTTGCTTGAACTTTAGCAAGGTCTTTTACACTTATTGATGAATTTGAAGAGAAAAGTTGTCTAGCTGATGACGAACCTATAGTGAATACAAAAAGTTAAAAATTTAACTTATCATTAATTTGAACTATAAAAAACTATATAAAATTTATACTTGGTGTTACTGGAAGCATTCTTCCACCATAAAGTTGACTTAATCGAACAGTTCCATGTGGAGAAGGAGCTTTATTTGAAACAACAAGAGCTGCAATTCTTTCTGATGCCAAAGGATCCTTTGTTACTACAGCAACAAGATTATTTCTCAAAGTGCCTTTTGTGCAGTTGTGAGGCAATCCTCGACCAATAATTGAAAAACAGTCTGAGCATCTTTTTTCTACTGTTAAAGAAGGTGTTCTAGTTGCTGAACTTTGTGCGAATTCAATTTTCATTTGACCATTGTGTCTCAGTTTACCAATTGAACAGATCAAGCAGTTACAGTGAGAGTCTCGAGTTTCTGGTCGAAGTTTTATAGTCTCAAACTTATACAATGATGGGAGTGTGATGTCTTCTCCACTTTCCTTCCTTCTTAAACAAGAGCGACATTTTTCACATATTCCAAGTGGAACTTTGTCATCATTAAAGTTGATTTTCTCTTTCAGTATAATCTGACATCTTTCTTTTAGATTTGATGTTAGCTTTCGTTGACTTTTACTAAAACAAAGAAAACAAACAGATTTCCTGCATTCTTGGTGGTTTTTAGCAGTATTTGGCATTTTCGGTAAAATTAGATGTGCTCAGTTTAGCTCTCATTAGTAAAGTAAAAACAACGTGCTTTTACCCAGAATTCAAAAGTAGAAATTTATTCCAAAATAATTTATGTCATAATTAAATACGTTTCATATCAATTAAAGCAGTTTTTACAAACTAATCATAGTTTTGGTATGTAGAAATGCAAAATAAGCTGTCATTCCGCATGTTTGTGCAATCAATATATTTTATGTTTGTTACTTGTATAACTTCAAGAATATATTATTTTGCTTTCCTTGTTTATATTTATGTAAATTGGAGATTTTTAATACTACAAAAAGGAAAATAAGCGCTCATATTGCATATTTGTGCAATCAATAAAGTATTTTATTAAACGCAAGACGTGTTTAACACGTTTATAATACGTTTTAATACGTATCAATACGTATATTAAACGTTTAAAACACGTTTTGTGTTAACTAGAATGAAAATTCAAATGTAAATAACTTGCCAGGACGTTGTAATCTGATTTTGATACTTATATCTAAGTGATCCCCATAGTAAGGGCTATCATTCCGCCAAAGGGTTTTCCCGGGTCAGAAAGTTAAGGTTAGAACCTATTTTATAACACTGTGGTATAGTTTGAACATGCACGAATCTACTTGAACATACTTGAACATAGTATAGTTAAATCTTTATTCAAAATATGAATAGTAAATATTTTAAAATTAGGTAGAGTGCGTAAAAATAATTTTTTTTATGTTTGTATTTGCTTGAAAATGTTCTAATTATCTATATTTCTTAATAGAAGAAATATTGAAAAAATTGCACACTCTGCTTTATTTTTCTAATTTAATGAATTTATATTGACGTTTCATTAGTACAGATAAAATGTAAAAACAAATAGTACAAATAGATAAAATTTGGAAATTTTGAAAATGTATAGGATTGAGATAAATTACAGAAAAAAATAAAAGTTTTTTCTTATTGTAATTTATCAATTATCATAACATTCTTATATAATCATGTCTAATATCAATCATGTTTCTTAAAACCATGAATGTATAACAGTATGCTCCTTTATATGTACCTTTGATCTTAGGTACGCACCTTTGGTTTTAGGGTATCTAAAACCAAAGGTGCATACATACAACTTTGGTTTTAGGTATGTAATCTTGATCATTGCTCAATTTTAGGACTAAATTATGTAAATAAAAAAATAAAAAGCTAAAATATATTTATTTGAAAATTTTATGCACAAAATATCAAAATGTATATAGAAAATGTATTGGATTATTTGGTTGTTTGATTATTTGATTATTTTATTTTCTATACAATGTTTAATCTGTTCTATAAAGATCGCAGCATATATTATACCTTGAGATATTAAATTTTATATAACGATAACAATAATATAACGTGAATTTCCTTATTAAATGCTCTTCCGCAGCGCTTTTTAATAAAGCCGTTATATCTTCTTGGAACACCTAATAATCAGATATTTGGGCGTAAAAGTTCGAAAAGAGTTTTTCGCTAACAAGAAAATTCATAGACAAAATGGTTATTATGCTAAAGTTGTGTATAATAAACTAATTGTCTATGAATTTCAACAAAAAAACTCTGAAAGAACAGAAAATTTAATATCTCAAGGTATAATAGTATATAGGTATATAGTTTTTAATGAATTTTTGATAAAAACTCTCTAGATGCTGGATTTTAGTAATTACTATTTTTTTAATATAAAGATCATTGAAAAATTGAGAATATACTCATCAATGGAAAAGTTACAGTATAGACTGTTAAAAACAAAAAATAATAAATATCTTGAAAAAGTTGGTAGTACAATTTTTAGACTCGAAAGTAAAAATTTCATCTCAAAAATACTAAATTTTAACTTTGATGAAGAATTAAAAAATTGTTCCAATTGGTACCATTTTCATATTTTGATATTTTTTCTGTAAGTTTATTGTTGTGAACTAAAATTATGGAGGAAATCAATTTAATGTTTATATAATGTTATATTATGTTTCCAGGTTTCGAAATATACTTTTGAAAATGTAAATAATGGGTATAAATACATTGTTATTAGGATTCAAGTCAGAGAAGACAAAACAAATGTAATAAGAATGAGATTAAAACTAACTCTTGCAAAGTATGTTGCACTATGGCATGCATCATATCAAAAAAAAAGAAATTCTAGATAGTAAAAGCTCAAGTTTGACCATGGAAGTATAAAACAGATGGAAGTTCGACCGCATTGAAATTCTTCGGGACTATGCTTGTACGTAAACAATAAGAAAACGACATCAAGACTGTACTTAAACGCTTAACCTTTAAACGTTGACGCAAATAGATACGTTTATAATAATTTAAAAATATAGTATTTTGAAGGTTCGCCAATAATATTCATGAAAAACATTAAAAATGGCGCTACGTAATGGCAGACAACAACTTTTTTATAAACTTTATATTAAATGAATGGAGTACTACAAGAATGAATGGAGTTATCATATACAGCTAATAAACCTTTAAACTTTAGTTACTTAGAAAACAATTTTTTTGATTTTTTAAAAATTGCTTTAGTTGTCTTTTTTATCAAATGTCGTGTTATGACTTGAAGCAAGAAAAGAAGCTTAAACTAACATATGCTTTTAAAATCAAGTGGTTCTATTTAATTACCGAGTTTTAATAAAGCTTTTGTTGAATAATTGCAATTACTAATGGTTAAAAATTTGCAACATATCCCTAGAATAATTCATTTTATATTGTTTTAATAAAGATCATTTCAGTGAATTTTGTTGTTTTTTTATCCAGTGAAACTTGTTTTTTTTTAATTGTCGGTTACAAGCATACTCCTGAGACGACTTGAAATTGCTTTGATGTTTGCGGCTCGATGAACTTCCATCTGTTTTATACTTCCATGGTTTGACTTAATTACTTTTTTAAAACAATTGATTTAGTTGAATCACCAAGTAATCGAGAGAGTTTAATAAATCAATCAGAGGTTGACCAACAAAAAGGCCTGATGAATCAAGTTCTCGAACCAAAAGACGATTAATAGCAAATATATCATTTGATTCAAAAGACGATTAATAGCAGATATATCATTTGATTCAAAAACGGAATCCGTCAAAATATTGTTAGTGGCACAAAGAACAGCATTTAATAAACGTGACTATAATTAAGTCAAATTACTTTGTGTTGTTACAAAGAAAGCGTTACGAATCGTTATTGCTTTACTCTCAGCTAACCACGTTGCAAGAGAAGATTTAACCACATTGACGTCTGATGAAGATTTTGCATATTTCTTCGATAACAAACTTTCAAGAAGCGTTTATGAATATACCCATGAAGAAGCACCATGCAGATTTCTATCTTATTGAGTAACTTCCAAAATAAAAAACGAATGGCTCACCTTTAAAAATATCTACTAAAGTTACTGAAACAAAGGCCAAAGTTAAACTACAGGATCTTATGGATCACACATCCAAGTGGCTTGCGAAACTACAGGAAAAGAAAACTTTAAATCATTGAATTGTAAACTTAATATGATCATAACTTTCAGAAAAAAAAAGATTGTTTGATGAAAGTTGAAACCTGTCAACAAATTTAAGTTTAGTATAAGATAGCAGCAAAAATCTTTTTTTGGACTCATTGCCCTCATATTTAGGTAGGAGATGAGATTACTTTTTGGGGTATTTTTGATCTCGGGCTTCAATTACAACAATTTTCTTGCAAACCGTTTTATTTTGATTTAAGCATGAATATAGCAGGTTTGTGGCCGTGGAAAATCATCCATTATTTAAACAATGTCTAAAAGTATCACATATAAAAGATCCAATTGGTGCGCCATTGCTTAAGTGGATTTCCCCAGTCCCCTTGATGCTCCTATAAGCAAGCTAAACACAAAAATAAAAATTATTAAGTCTCTCTTTTACTCAAATAAGGCTTAATATCCATATAAATACAACGATTATATTTTTGGCCACCTATTTCAATGGAATGTTCCCACTGTGCAGTTAGTATCGCACGCAATCATTTTTATTGATTACCATAAATTGAGTTTGTCTAAAGTTTTTTTTGTTCATGTTTTTGACTTCAAATCAAACAAAACTAAATTAGAAATTTCCTTTTCCTTATTTCTAAAAACTACAACCTTCATGGTCATACAACCTTCTTCTTTATCAATTTTCCATTAAAATGCATAGACTCATTATTTAAATTTTCTATATCACTCAATCTTTAAATTCTCTATATGCAGTTCTTCAAGCTTCTGTGCTGCACTGCGTACAGTTTTATAAATTTCTGGCTTTGATTGAGGCACAGATGCAGATTGAAGTTTGATATAGCTAACTTAACATAACCAGACACGGAGTAAACTTCAAACCTAATAAGGATTTGCATAAAAATTTTTATGTTTGTACTTATGTCAAATAAGAATGGTTTTGTAAAAAATTGCGATAATTGGAGTCTGGGAACAAAAAAAATAAATATTTGCTACACCTGCCCAAAACATGAGAGCAACAAGTTAATAAAATATTTTTGTTGCATTTTTGTTCTCCACTAAATTTATATACATCAATGAATTTTAAATTTCATAAAATAATCTCTTAGCGTTCAAAAAGTATGGCCTTATAATATTTGTAGTCCCCTCAAATTGATGAGGGTTCAAATTTTATATGGTCATAATTTTTGAACGCTAAGAGATAGTATAAATTCTTTAAATTTATTGATAAATATATATTGATGAATATACATTTAGTAGAAAGTAGTAAAAAAATGACTTTATCAATTTGTTGTTTTTACATTTGGAAAAGGTTTAGCAACAATTTTAAGGCTTTGTTTTACCCAGGTTCCAATCATCGCAATTTTTTGCAAAAACATTTTTATTTTAATAAGTATAAACATATAAATGTTTTAAGTTTGCTCCATGTCTGGAAGTTAGCATCAAAAAATGCTGCATCCGTGCGTGTGATTTATTTAGAAATTATTAAGACTTTTTTACCCAATTTTTTCCGAGACATTTATAAAACGTCAACTTTTATTGCAATTACTCTCTTAAGTAAAAAGCACATTTTAAAAACAATAAGAGAAAAAAAATAAATATAAAAGTATAAAAGATAGATCTTTGCACAGCTTTCTAGCAGAATGTATTACTAAAGGCTGTGAGATTGATATAAAGTATGCACCATCCGTTATCCTAACTAGTATAGCCTTTACTAACTCAAAATTACTCTAATTTCAGAAGTCTAACACCATACAACTGAAGCAACATTTCTAAAATTGTTCATTTAAATTCTATAAGCTGCAGAAGTTTGTTAGCATTTAAATTCTGTTAGCGGGTGAATTTTTTTAATAAAAATGTCATAACGATAGTGCGCATACATTGACTGATATAGCTAGGTTTAATATTTATCAAATGTCTAAATTATTTTCTGCTGACATAAAACATGTCCCACATATTTTCTATCGACGTATTTTGACATGATTTTATGTCTGAACTATTTCCTGCTGACATATGTCCGACATATTTTCTAACGACATATTTTGACTTAATTTTATTAAGTCAAACTAACAACTTAGTAACGCATTTCAGAATAATTTGATGAATAAACCGAAAATATGTTAACAAATTAGTCTGATTTATTTTTTTTCTTTTGCTATGCTATCCTTATATTCATAAAGTTTTTAATTAATTAAATAAATATATATTTTTTATATTGTTGTATAGATTCGACCGCGAAACTTAACAATATTATTGATGCAATTGGACAGTTAGTTAGAGCTAAAGATTTGCTTTATTTCGAAAATATAGATAGGTAAATTTTAAAATTTTTCTTGAGCTCAACAAAGTGTTGGTACAAAATTGTTTTTATTTTAGGCTCATAAAAGATATTAAGAGATACGAACAATTTTACAAGTCCTTTAATGATATGGTAAATCAGCTTTTGGAAATTTTAGGTAAAGTGTAAAACTTATAAATATTTGTTTGTCTTTTTTTAATATTTATTCTGTACGTATTCCGTAAAATTTTAAATACCTATGTAAATAAAAAAACTTCATTTACAAGGCAAAACAAGTTTGAAATTAGGATAATAGTAATTATTTAAAAATACTAGCATATAACTTATGGAAATATGTCCTTTTTTTTTTTGTATAGATGTTGAGTATCCAGAAAACATTGTTCCGTCTGTTAAAAGACTTATTTCTTATGGTTGAAATAAAATTACGTCAGATGATCTTATCAGCACAATATATCATTAAAACTTGCGTTTTAAAAAATGATAGTAAATGTATTTTTCATAAATAAAATTAAAAAGTAATTTAAACAGTTATGATTATGTTTTATTTAATAAAACGTGAAATAAACTTTCAATTTTAATTATTTTTTAATTTTATGAAACATGTTTATTCGAGTAAAACAGCGCTTCCAACGGGGGTCGCCTGACAATTTGCCAGGGGGTGGCATTAGACCATCTGAAAATAATTTATATACATCAGTCAGTGGTTTCTTTTTATTTTTTTAAATTTCGGCTATATTCCTACTCTGGCTACAGTCATTACAGTGTACTTATTTATAATTTTATGACTTTAACTTTAAAGTTAATAGCTTTGCTTGTGTTTAACACAATTTTATAAATGTACATTGTACAATTGGCATATAAAATGTTGTAAAGTCTACGATATTTTAATTGTGCAATGTACTTTATACCTTTAGGAGACACAATCGAATCTTTAATGTTGAAGCTTTGTAAAATAAAAAAAAATTGTTTTTCACGTAACTGAAAAACAATTTTTTAATTACGTGATTAATTTAAATTATGTTTAATTTATAACAAAAAAAAAATATAGTGCCTTCAAATAAAATCAGATAATTAGAAGTCAAAAAACATAATAGTTAACTGCCAAAATGATTTAGGAGCAACCTTATTAATTGTATTGTTGGAGTCTGGCGACCTCAGCAATACAATTAATAATCGAGTAAAATTCACTCAATCAGATTAAATTTACTTTTTTTTCGAGTTTTTATTGGTTATGTTAAAGAAAACTCTCAACAATATGATAATAGTAGAAGATTTAAGGTGGCTCAATCCCAATTGTCAAAAAAAAATGTCAAAAAAAAAACTTTTTTGACATTTCCAATGGGATTGCGTCACTAATCCCATTAGAAACTCAAGGACTTTTTTTTCTGTATCTCTTAATTCAATCATTGCAAATTCCAAAAATATATAGTTTGTGGTAAATTAAATGTTCTTTGATAAAGAAAAGAGTATGTCCAACTTACATACATTTTTGGCCCTTTTTTTTTTCAAATCACATATTTACGCTCAAGGATGTTAGAAAACAATGTAAAACTACACTTTACAATTCAAAAATAATTTTGAGCTCAAAAAAAAAAATTTATATAGATATATAGTAATAATAATAATAATATATATATAATATATTTATAAATATAATATATATATATATATATATATATATATATATATATATATATATATATATATATATATATATTATAAATATATTATAAATATATTATATATAGTAATAATAATAATATATATATATAGTATATTATAATAATAATATATATATATATAAATATATATATATATATATATATATATATATATATATATATATATATATATATATATATATATATTAGGTATATGACTAGAAAAAAATATTTGGAATTTTTTATTGCCCCTATTGTTATGAGTGGACATTTATCATTTCTTTCGAGAATTTTGAACTTGAAAAAAAGTCACCCTTTAAACTGATTTTAATTTTACACATAGGCTGCCTTATTTTTGAGCTATGTAACATTTGTTAATACAATAATTCAATCTAATTGAAGAAATAGAAGAAATAGAAATTCAATTTAATAGAAGAAATAATGCAATTTCCTGTTCTATAAAAACAAATAACCTACAAGTAAATAAAGTCTGTTTGGAGGGTAACATTTTAACATTTAAATTGTTTGTAGCTCTCTGTTTACTGAAAATGTTACAAGATCTTGTTATCTTGTTATATACTTTACTCTAAGTTCCAATAACTATTTTTTATCTAATAAATTTCATATTTATAAGTAATCTAATATTTAGATTCCGATAATCTGTTTCTTTTGGCACCAACACAGGATTTAACTGATTGTTTACTATCTGGAGAATTACAACTTTGGAACTGCAACGTCTAAAAACGCACCTCCTTCAGAGAAGAATAAGGAGATTTGGTCTTCAAATCTAACGCAATTTTAAAAGTGCAAAAAGTCAAGAAAGTATGCTACCATTGACAGTTTTGATCAGATGCGAAGAATGCCAACGGAGCAGAATATCTTCGACTGATTTAAAACTCTGACTTCTGATGTAGAAAAGAGCGAATTGTAATGAAAGCAGATGAAGTGAAAGACCTATGGAATAATTTGAATCTGCCAATTCATTAAGGTAGATTTACGGTTGCACGAAAAGTTAAGAATGTAATAAAAACTTATAAAAAGCATGCTCGTAGACCTGGAAACAATGATTTTAGTAAATTGTTTAATGTAACAGACGAGAAAAGAGAATGGTTGTCCAGAGAAGACAGGGAGTTTTATGAACTGCAGGTTTCAACAAAAGGGAAAGTAGGATATTGCACCACAAAAGAAGACACACAGGGGATACATCCTAGAAAAGTGAAGATGCTTAAAAGAAGAGTGTCAGTCATACAAGAGTCTATTGAAGAAAGTAGTGAAGAAGATTCGGAAACAGTTACAGAAACAGAAAAATTTATGAGTGAAGAACAAAGTTATAGTAGTAATATAGATTTTGCGAACTTTTCTTCCAGTAAAAGGCAAAGAACTGATTCTGCAGTACGTTTAGTAACTGCAACAAAACTGAGTACAAGGAAGGCCCACAAAGTATGTGAAACTTTGTCCAAAAGCGGAATTTCTATACCTATTCATAATCAGAGTGGCATCTTCAAAGCAGTAATAAAAGAAGGAGAAAAGCTAAAAAGAAATTTCAAGGAAAATTTAAAAAATAAACACTGGTGTTTATACTTTGATGGTAAGAATATATAGAAGGAATACCAGGTAGTTGTTTTGAAAAATAAAACTAGGGAAGTCAGACTTGCTGTCCTTCAATTGACAAATGGAAAAGGTGAGACAATATTCAATAGAATAAAAACTGTGCTTGACGAATTTGAACTATGGCCCTCAATAAAAATGTTTAATAAAATTGTTTCTGATACAACTGCAGCTAATACTGGAAAAAATCTGGGAGCTGTCACACTGTTGCAGAAGCACTTTGAAGATATTAGATTAGAAAAACCTGTGTTTATTGGTTGTCAACACCATATTCTGGATACGATATTGAAACACGTCATGAATGATAATTTTAGGGGAACAACGAATTCATCAAACATTTGTTATTCCTTCATTTCACAAATAAAAGGACACTATGAACAATTGAAGAAATCATTTGATAATTCGGTAAAAAAAACAGAAGAAAGTAGAACAGGATCGCTCAGGAGATGACATGTCCTTTCTTGATCACTTAGTATCACGCGACAGGTATTTCAAAAGTACAGGAAGTTTCCCAAAAGTGCATTTCCGATCACTTCCATCAGTAATGCATGATGGAACTCAAGAGCCATTTATGTTTTGCTTAGTTTCATCTTGATGCCAGAGTTTAGACAAACAGCAAAAGTGGCATGTGATTTTATCTGTGGTTCATGGTCAAAAATCTGGTTCTCTTCTCAGTTCTTCAATCTTGCTAACTTTGATAATTTGTTAGAAGCTTGTAAAGAGTATCCTTAAGCTTTGCGCTCATAGAGGAAGTTTTGGTCAGTGGAGCCTACGCCTATAGCAACCCAGCGTTCAAATATGTGCTGAGCGTGCCGTTAAAGTAATGCAAGACCTGCTTCCACTCTGCAGATTGACTGAAAAATTGAATGTTAAATTTTTTTTAAGTAATGAACATTAGAAAAATACTGGTATATTTATTTATCGGTGATGTATTGTAAAATGTAAATTGTTATTGTAAAATGATGCAACTTTTATGTGAATATACTTACATGTTATATCTTAGACACATCATTTTCTCATTCATCAAAAAAAGAAGATACTTGAATCAAGCAACCTGAAAGAATAATAATAAAAAACCAAGAAAAATTCAATGTGTAATAAAAAAAAGGACAAAAAAAAAAATTGTCAAATGAGAAAACATATTCTGTTGTACGCTTGTCTTGATAATTGTATAGAATTTTTTGTTTTATTTTTAATTTTACTCAGATATAGGATATTGTTCCCAAGCCCCCAATTTAAATAACATTTTTAAAGTTCAACCTATTGACTTGAAATTTTTACAGCACTTTTTTCAATATTGGAACTAGGTTCTAAACTAAAAACAACTATATAGAACAAACTGATCTTTCGCAATTGTATTTTTTTTATTAACCAGATTTCTTTATGCTCAAATAGAAATACCTGCCATTATAGATTAATAATTTTTTGAAGTTAAATTTTAGTTCAAGACCTCTCTTACAACTTTATCTAAATGCAGTAAAAATTTAGTTCGAATATTACTTACAGACACTTAAAATGTTTGAAGTTTTTATTCAGGGATTTTTTCTTACGCATCTATTTTTTTGGAGCAATTTTTTGGTCAAAATTTTGATCAAAAAATAATTTTTTCACTTATCTGCCATGGCTAAACCTATTTTAGAGAAATTTTTTTTAATTTTTGATGGATTTAGTGGAGCCATCTTAAAAAACAATAACAAAACTCATACAAATTTCTAATAGAATTTGATAGCGTAGTTAAACTACATAAGAAACAGTCATAGCAATCTACCACTTTTAATTTTTAAACATTTTTTGATTATGAATAAGATTTACATTATGGGTTTCTTAGATCTTTATTACTTAGTTGCTAGTTATCAAAGTCAAGTTGTGTTCTCAGACTATAAAAGTTGACAGATTCAACAAGCAAAAAAATTTGATTGTTATTTCAGCAAACAAAATTGCTAAATTAGCTCACAAACAAAAGCTATAGTATTAGTTAATTCAGATCGTCTCCAAAACAAAAAGTGATGTTACTACGCTAATCAAAAAAACAAGGTAACAAGCACCTAAAAATTGGTCTAGCTAATATGATAGAGTATGAACTCTCCAAATCCTATACGGGTAAAAGGTTGACTGCTTAGTCTACAAACATTTTCAAAACAAAATAAAGTCTTGGCTAGAGCCGGCGTTGAACAACGCACCATTTGGTTCTGAGCAAATCTAACCACTGTGCTACGGCTAATTTTTTAAGTCACCATTTTTCTAAAAAATATTTTGTCGAGTGTCTTTCACAAAACCAAATTTGTTTCTATTAAGGTTTTTAACAAAATTTATGCTTTATACAAAACGACTGTGAGATAATAATTATTCTGTGTTATTCTTTTGTCCGTAATTCTGTATTTTGATAAACTCTATTATTATAAAGATAAAAAAAAATTATGCCTTAAATTTTCCGGATGTGCTCTCAAATCGCATTTTTTTAACAAAAATAGTATTTCTTTATTTTTTTAATTTTCCTTGCACAATTCTAAAATTTAAAAAATATATATATAAAACTTAAGTTAATTAAATTTAAAAATTTTTTGCTCACACAAAACTAGCAATTTAAACGTAAATTATATTCAATTAAAAAATTTTTTCCTTCTTTTCTTACTACTTTGGATAAGTTTATTGAAATTTAAATTTAGTAGTTAATACAAACTGTAAATTTTTTATTTAATGTTTTATCTAATGACAGAAATGTCATTTCCTATTTCTATTTTTCTTACTCGTTTAATAAATAACAGTGTTTACAAATCTTTCAAAAGCACAATTGACATTTGACTCGTCAAAATAGTGATAAAACATTGATACTGTTACACATAGTTAATAATAAAATATTTTCTTTAGCTTTAACACTAAATGACAGTTGAAATTAAACATAAAAATGAATGTTATAAACTTTTTATTATTAGGTAAGATTATTCATATATTTTTTTTATATATATGTTTTTTTTATATATATATTTTCAAATAAAATCAAGATTTTTTCAATAAAAGATAGGTCACTGATTTATAGAAAGTTATCTTCAAATTTTTTTCTTTATTTATAAACGTTAAGTGTAGACATTCGGATTATATAGTGTGTTCTATATGATAAAATAACACTGGATTTAAAATTTTTTTGAATAAAAAATATTTTTAGGAGTGCCTCAAGACCCTTCAACATTAAATAGGTCCCTAAATAAAAATTTAAAAAATAATAATCATTTTATATATAAAACATCATAAAAATAATCATAATAAAAAAATCGTGCAAAAGATCACTTTTTTCATTTTTAGTAAAAACGTTTTAATCGATATACAGTAAAACTAAAAATAATTTATTTATAAAAGGAATCAAGGCACCCCTAAAAATATTTCTTTGTTTAAAAACTTTTAAATCCAGTTTTATTTTGTCATATATTGCACATTAAGGTGTATGCTGCAGATATTTTTCAAAAAAGTTATTCGAACCACCCTATATATATATACATATATATATATATATATATATATATATATATATATATATATATATATATATATATATATATATATATATATATATATATATATATATATATATATATATATATATATATATATATGTATGTATATATATATATATGTATATATATAATATATAATGTATTATATACTATATAATATATATATATATATATATATATATATATATATATATATATATATATATATATATATATATATATATATATATATATATATATATATATATATTTATACATAAATATATATTTATGCGTAAATATATATTTATACGTAAATATATATATAAAAAAATGTATATTTATACATTTATATGCATTACCGACGCGAGTATGTGACACGTAAGTGGGGGGGGGGGGGGAAAGGGGGATGCCATTACAACTTTTGGCGACTAAAAAAAAAAAAAATGTCCTCGATTTTTAAAATTTGCCGATTGCCATAACGACATTTGTCGACTGACTGTATAAATTTACGGACCAACTTGTCGAAATGATCTACATTTGCCGACTAACTAGTCAAAAAGGGTTAAATTTGCCGACTAAATAAACGAAAAAATCATTGATGAGGGATTTCACCCCCCCCCCACCCCATAGCGCTGGTTTTATATGTATGTGTGTATATATATGTATATGTATATATATATATATATATATATATATATGTATATATATATATATATATATATATATATATATATATATATATATACATTATATATTTATATATGTATATGTATATATATACATACATACATACATACATATATATATATATATATATATATATATATATATATATATATATATATATATATATATATATATATATATATATATATATATATATATATTGCTATATTGGGTGAAATTGAAGAATGTGGTTTAACTAATATATTAGTGATTGGTTGCTTACGATATATTGAAAAATCGTATTTATGAAGAAATTGATTGGTGAAAATACAAACGTTTAGAAAATTGAGTTGACTTTGAGAATTTAGGTATTCAATAGTATACTGAACGGCTGTATCTTGTGTATTTAAAATATTTAAAAAAATTTGCGTCATTAATATTAGAAAATCGAGCGTGACTATGATCAACGTACCTTTAATAAGTTATTGTGCAGTATTGAAGCTTAAAGCTTGTTGGATAGCATTAATTTCGATAAATTGTAGATAAGCTTCCAACATAAAAACCATTATGGACAAACCAATCGGACCAGAATTTTTTAAGATATGTATTTTGTCGTCCCATAAAAAATAACATTTACTTACTGTTGTAAGTGCTTAATGTGAAAAATTCTCAAAATCAACTAAATTTTCTAGACGTTTGTATTTTCACCAATCAATTTCTTCATAAATACGATTTTTCAATATATCGAAAGCAACCAATCACTAATGTATTAGTTAAGCTATGTATTAATTACTAATGTATTAGTTATTGTCAGGTCAGGAGTATGGTCTTCATGATCATCCTGCTACTGGTAACATGTAACCCAGTGCATCCTGTTCCATGTTTTGCTGCCTTGCAGGATTTGCTTTCTAAGCAAAGGCTGAAAGGAGTGTGCTTCCTATCATCAGTACTATCTTATATCAGTCATTCCTATAGTAATTTATATAATTTTTTTAATATATATATAGTTAGAGGTGCTTTAGTTACTGTATTAGCTCACCTGTAATCTACTTTATATGTATGTTTGTGTTCTGTTCCTCTGGCGCGGTGTTCGCTCACCCGTAAGTTACTTTATGTTTTTTATGTTTCTTTTTATGTATGTTTGTGTTCTGTCTGAACCTCTGCCGCGGTGTTGACTCACCCGTAAGTTGATTTATGTTTGTTTGTGTTCTGTTTATTCTCTGATGCAGCGTGAGCTTAGTAACTAGCTACTTACTCTAACTACTAAACCTACACTCACCTTAGACTCCTGCATTTTGTTAGATGCAGTGTTTTTCCTAATGCACTTCCAAAATGTCATGCCTGGTTTTCTCAAAGTACTGTTGCGGGAAGTAAGTCCTTTTAACTACTCCAGGTCAGGTCAGGATAATCAAGATCAATCTTGCTACTGGTATCATGTAACCCAGTACCACCTGCTACAAGCCCTTCTGCCTTGAAGAGTGTGCTCTTCTTAGGCAAAGGCTAGGAGAAATAAACTACGACTAAAAATTCCCCTGCCTTGGGGCTCTTGGTTGAGTAAAGGCTAGAGATGGTGTCTCGATAAAAACACTTATCTTGGGCAGATGTTAACTGAATCCAGCTAAACATCCCCTACCTTGGGGCTCTTGGTTGAGTAAAGGCTAGAGATGGTGTCTTGATAAAATTACTCATCTTGGGCAGATGTTAACTGCATCCAGCTACTGTCTTGTAGAAGGCCTCCAAGGCAAAGACTTTAGGGGTGTGCAGTAACATTCTGCTTACCAGCCTCGAACCCCTTCTTTATCTATTAGGCTGGCGTAGATGTAACCTGTGTTACATTATTTCCTGCCTAGGATGATGAATGCTGGATCTCCTTGACTCTACTTATAGAATTTTGCTTATGCCTCCTTGATAATGGCTATGCAACTCTTCCTTTTATCTCCATATGAGGATACAGCTCTAAAACTCAGTTTAATGGTTCTGAGGCCGGCTTGTAGTAAGGTTTCCCAAACTCTGAGGTAGCTCTCAGAGAGGCTGATTCCATCAACAGCTGCAAAATATTAGAGTATTAACAGTGCCATGTTGCGCATGGATGGTGTCCCTGTTAATGCTTTTGGTGTGCATTGTCAAGGCCACATAAGGAGCCCTATGTCACGGCTTAGCGTTAATTAACAGGACCGAGACAACTGCATAGCTGCATTAGGAAGATGTGCTCTATCTATGAATGAGTCAAGTTCTCATTAAACCCAAATCATGACCAAAGTAATCAAATGTTGTTGGTGATTTTAATGCTCATCACACTGAATGGCTTGGCTCTAACACCAATGATCCTGCTGGCACTAAAGCCTTTAACTTCTGCGTTTCTCAATCTCTTACCTAGATAGTTAACTTTGTGATTCGTTTTCCTGACAACCCTAATTTTCCTGACAACCCTTGACTTATGTCTTGTCTCTGACCCTAGCTTATGTTCAGTTTCTCCCTTTTCTCCCTTAGGTGGTTCTGACCTTGCAATAATCTCTATAAATCTTTCTTCTCGTAATTCTTTTTTGGGCCCACCTTATCATTGCACCACCTACTACTACCCTAAAGCTGACTGGGATTCTTTTTGTTATTTTCTTCGTGATGGTCCTTGGGCTGATGTTTTTTCTCTCTCAGCTGATAAATGCGCCTCCTACGTAACCTCCTGGATTCAGGCTGGAATGGAAGCTTTTATTCCTTCTCGTCGGTTTCAAGTCAAGCCTCGTTCTACTCCATGGTTTTCTCCTTCTTGTGCGGCTGCTATATCCAATCGTAATCATTTTTTTTCATCTTTTTCAAAAGAACAACTCTCTTGAGAACAAACGGCTATTTATTATTGCAAGAAATCGATGTAAAATGATGCTTTCTGATGCTAAATTCCATTATTCTTAATTCACTAAATCTCGCATCTTATCACAGAAGTTAGGCTCTAAAGACTTTTGGAAAATCTTCAACAGCATTATTAACAAGGGTAGATCTAACATTCCATCTCTCATTCATGGGACTGACCTTATTACCTCTCCCAAGGATAAGGCAGAACTATTTGCAAAGAACTTTTCTTCTAATTCCACTCTTGAATTTTATGGACATTCTCTTTCTTCCATTCCAGTCAAACAGGTTGACCCATTATTAGACATTCAAATCACTCCGGCTTCTGTTGCTAAAGTTATATCTCAATTAAACACGTCTACAGCTTGTGGTCCAGACAACATTCCTGTTACAGTCTTGCAGAATTGTTCTCCAGAACTTTCTTTAATTGTCTCTAAACTATTTAACAAGTGTTTGACTGAGTCTTGTTTTCCTGCTTGTTGGAAAATGGCATCTGTGGTTCCAATATTCAAAAACTCTGGAGAAAGTTCTGACCCCTCCAATTATCGTCCGATCAGTCTTCTTTCTGTTATTAGCAAGGTCTTTGAGTCTTTGATCAACAAATTCCTCACATCTCATCTTGAGTCAAATAAACTACTGTCAGACAATCAATACGGTTTTCGATCCTCTCGCTCTACGGCCGACTTGCTAACTGCTGTAACTGAAAGATTTTATCGTGCATTAGATGGAGGCGGTGAGGTTAGGGCGGTTGCTCTCGACATATCTAAAGCTTTCGACAAAGTTTGGCATACTGGTTTTCTCCATAAACTTGCTTCATATGGTGTTTCTGGGAAAGTTTTTGAGACTACTAAATCATTTTTTTCTAACCGGTTTACTAAAGTCATCCTTGAAGGCCAACACTCTTCCTTATTTCCAGTAACTTCTGGGGTTCTCCAAGGTTCCATCCTGGGCCCTGTTTTGTTTTTTATCTACATAAACAATCTTCCTGACAACCTTTCATCTAAAGTAGCTCTTTTTGCTGATGACTCAACTTTATACTCCTGTCTTGACAAAAAGTCTTCTCTTTTCGATCGCCTAGAACAAGCAGCTGATCTTGAATCCGATCTCACTTCAGTAATAGATTGGGGTTCACAGTGGCTTGTGAATTTCAACTCTAACAAAACCTAGTAGTTTACTGCAAACAACTACCGTAATATGGTCAACATTCCTATATTAATGAATGGCAATCCTCTTACTGAGTCCTCCTCTTTACGTCTTCTTGGATTATCGCTTACTACTGACCTTTCATGGAAACCATATATACAATCGATTGCTAAATTAGCTTCTGCTAAGGTAAAGAGCTTCTCTTTATTGTGCTCGCCATTTCCTTACTTCTGATTCCATTCTCTACCTCTACAAATCTCTTATTCGTCCCTGTATGGAATACTGTTGTCATATTTGGGCTGGTTCTTCTAACGATTCATTTTCTCTTCTTGACAAGGTCCAAAAACGCATTGTAAATGTTGTTGGACCTGGACTATCTGCTAAGCTTGAGCCTCTTTCCCATTGTCGTAAAATTGCATCTCTTTCTCTTTTCTACAAATACTATCATGGTCACTGCTTAAAGGAGTTATCATCTCTAGTTCCATCAACTAAAATTCATTCTCTTTTTACTCGTCATTCAGCTAAGTCTCATTCGTTTACTGTATCTGTCCCTGCATACTCTAAAAATTTTTATTCATCTAGTTTTTCTTCCCGCACTTCAATCCTTTGGAACGCTCTCCCATCTTCATGTTTTCCTGACTCATACAACCTTCAATTTTTCAAGTCTTCTGTCAACCGTTTCCTTGCTCCTTTCCTTGCAGAGTTATACTCTGTTGTTTTTTTTCCTAGTAACTCCTAACTTAATAGTGGTTGCTTGCAGCCTTGTTGGGAGTGAATGCAAATAAAAAAACAAACAAAAAAACACATTCTTCAATTTCACCCAATATAGCAATAAGTATTTTTAAAGGTTTTCTTTCAAGAGCATATAAAATATGTTCAGAACAAAATATTCAGAATGAAGTTGAATTTCTTATTAATATGTTTTCCCAAAATAGACATTCGTTCAAACAATTTTTAGATATCGCTAAAAATTATAAACTATCACATAAAAATGCAATAAACCAGCAAATAGACCCTGGAAAAATTGTCATACTACCACGGATACCGAAATTAAGCATTAGACTTAAAAGAGAGTTTCGTAGAGTAGGTATTAAAACCGTTTTTCGCTATAGTAATCCTTTACTTAATACTTTATGTCGCAATAAATCAACATTGCATCCAAATAGTTATCCTGGTGTTTATCAGTTAGATTATTCATGTGATGCAAGTTATATCGGCGAAACTAGAAAAAAAGTTTCCACACGTGTTAATGAACACGAAAAAAACATAGCTAAAAGTAACTGGGACGCATCAGGAATAGTTGAACACGCCCAACATTATCGTGATTCAATTAACTTTAGTAAACTAAAAATTGTTTCTATTACTCCTAATAACAATACGCGTAAAATTCGAGAAGCAATTAAAATGCAACGCTTACAGTGCTCTAAATCACAGGAGTATATCCTAAATCGCCACAATGGTAACTTAGTGATGACACGCCATTGGAGACCACTTTTTGTTAGACTTAAGTCTAAATCTGCAACATTGCAAAGACATCATCTTTGTTTTTAGTTTTTATGAATTTTGTATAACGGTTTTTTCAGTTTGATAATGGTTTATACTATATAAGCCGAAATATCACCATTTAATAATAAAAACAATATATAACCGAACATGATGTTTTTTTATCAATTAAATATAAAATATATTATTAACGATGTCACTTAAACAATATATATATACATATACATATATATATATATATATATATATATATATATATATATATATATATATATATATATATATATATATATATATATATATATATATATATATTATATATATATATATATATATATAAATTTAATAATACAAGTATCAGCAAATTTATATACAGCTAATTTCTTTCCAAATCACTAAAGAGTTGTTCGATTACACACAAAGGGTATTCAATAACCTAAGGCTCTATATATTTAGTGAACCCGATAAATTTAAAGAATTTTTTTGACAACAAAAAATGGCTTTATTATTATTTTGAGTTGTTATGTATTATTGTATTCAACATCTTATTACATTATAATTATGTAAACTAATGCCTTAATTGTGATAAGAGCAAAAAAAACGTATTATTTTAATTCTGAGAGTTTTAATTTAAAAGACATGTTTTAACATTGAAAACGTCAATACATATTCAATACATATTTATATAAATATCTCAAGCAAACTATATTAATTTGCTTGAGAAATAAATTTATATTTGTGAATTTTTATGTAAACATTGATTTAATTTTTTTTTATCACATGCGTATTTTCATTCATAGCAATTTTGGACCAAAAAAGTAAACAAAAAATGTTCACTTATATTTTTCTCTTAAATTATTATAGTTTTTTTAATCTGCCATCACTTTGTTGTTATTTTACCTGTTTATCAGACTTTTGATTATATTTAGCCGTTTTTTACTAAGTTCCTTATTTTAAATCGGGCTTTAAAGTTCAAGATAGTTGTATAAAATAGTTTTTTTGTATTTTATGACAAATAAATCGAAAAAAATCTTTTTTCTTAACTAATTTTGAGCAGTGTTTACTAAATCATATGCCGTTTATGGCATTTGCTTGATTTATTAAAAATTGCTCAACTTGCCCTCTACCATTTTTCTGAACAGAAGAGCCGAAGGACTTACGAAGAAGGTGCCAGATTAGTTTTTTTTGTATGTCTTATTACTAATACTTTTTGTAAAATCGTTTTTAACTTTTTTTTTATAGTTTTTTTACAAAGTTCTCTAATCCATTCAAAACGTTTCCAACGAGATTTACCAAAATGTTCAATGGTTATTGGTGTTGGGCAACCACTGTATAAGAATGGAATTTTATCTTCACAAACTGTTAACCGAGTAATAGTTGCAAAAAAAAAAGACGTTAAATGTATTGAAACAAGTGGCACAGGCAAATTTAATTTATCAATGAACATTTATTCCGATGACTCGTACACAACATTTTTATCGCAAAATAACCAAGAAAGTTTGGTTTACAATCAACCTAAAATATTCCTAGAGCTTAAACTAAACAGCGATGAAGATGATTTTATTATTAAACTTATAACCTGCTATGCAACACCAGACAACAATCCTCAAAACGTTATTCAATACAAGTATATACAGAATGGGTAACAATTTTACTATTTCCCCCAATATATATATATATATATATATATATATATATATATATATATATATATATATATATATATATACATATATACTAGATTTATACATATATATATTTATATATATATATATATATATATACATATATATATATATATATATATATATATATATATATATATATATATATATATATATATATATATATATATATATATGTATATATATATATATATATATATATATATATATATATATATATATATATATATACATATATATATATACATATATGCTAGATTTATACATATATATTAGATGTATTCATATATATTAGACATATACATATATATAAACAACTTATAAATATGATAATTATTACTGTCTTGTAACTTTGCAAATATATTAAATATTATTTATATTAAATATATCACTTTTAGATGCGCGTTAGATTCTACAATCGTATTCTACGATGGAACTAATAAAAAAATAAACCGTTTTAGTATAAACACTTTCCGATTTGTCAATTACAGCTCAGTATTTTTATTTTGCAATGTAGGTGTGTGCAGTAAAACCTCTGTAGATTGTCATGAAACCCAATGTAATAATAACAAAAACATGTTAGGTATAAACAAAGATTCTTCACCTCACCTAAAATCTGTGCTTAGTGAAACTATAAACCAAGGTATTAAAATTTTGTTTAAATAATTATAACCAGTAAACTTAATAGAGTTGAAATGTTAGTTTTAGACAAATGTTAGTTTTTTGACTTTATTATTCTTTTGAGTCATTTTTAGAATGCATTTGAAAGTTATCATTGGTTATACTCGCAGCATTCCATTAGAGTTGTATTAACTAAAACAAAGTTAGATAGCGTCAAGCTTAAAACATTATAAACATGTTGACATATTCTAAGTTGGTAATTGTGCATAAATAGACTGACATGTAGGAATAGGCGTCTAAAATAATCGTCAAAATTGTACAAATATAATCGTAAGTTGAGACTTTAAGCGTTGTGTTTGTAAACTAAGTATAAAATACAAAAAAGGCAAAGTAAATAAATAAGGTATACACCCAGTGGGCATGTCGCCCGGTGGACGTCCGTCAGACATTTTACGGACGTCTGGACGTCCGTGAGACGTACTATGGACGCGTGCCTATTGAGTATATATATATATATATATATATATATATATATATATATATATATATATATATATATATATATATATATAGATGTATTTTTTTTTTTAGACTGCTTTATCAATTATATTTTAAAACTGGTTCTATAACTTCTCAGTATTTCACTTAAAAGTATTTCACTCTTTTATATTATTTCAATATTTTAATTCACTATTTCACTAAACACATTTTGTTTCACTATTTCACTAAAAACAGTATTTCACTTCTTACTTAAAAAAAAAAATTATTTTAAAAGAATGTTATGATCACAATCCACCATAACAAAGTTTATTAATGATATTACTCTCTCAATATAAATATATGTATATATCTCTTTTTTTTCATCTTTTTATTTTATTTTATTCCAAGTATATAATCGTTTGTTTTTTTTACTACTGCAGCTGCCTTCTTTTTCTTTTTGCAACTGCAGATAGTGTAAGCATTTTAGCAATTACTAATTACTACTTTATATTTACGCCAATATAATATGATATTTATAAATAACGATTTTATAAATATGGGGCTTGGTTATAAAACAGAATTATGTCTTCTTCTTGCTTCAGCCATTACTTATTTTGTTGTTTATATATAAAAATTATATTTGTTGTAGAAGGCGAACTAAACATATAAAAAAAATAAAAAAATAAAAAGTATTAATTTTTTGATGCTCTGATATTTTTCAATATTGAACCTAATCAAAAATCTTTACAAATGTATGAACAACGAGTTTAAAAGATTATACTTCTGGTTGAAGTTAAATAAGTCATTACTAACTACAGAAAAAACAATATAGATGTTGTTTCATTCCACAAAAAAAAAACGTTTACTAAACGTCGATCTAACGTTTAGAATATCGACTCACATTAGTCAATACTTTAAACCCTTAATTGACCTTAACTAAACGTAAATATTTTTAGATTTAAAATCTATGCCCAGTAAACATACAAACGTCTATTAAACATCAAAACAACGTTTCGACAAAACGTTCAGATTTGGTCGATTATCCGTTTAGAACGAAATCCAGATTAACGTTTAGAACAAACGTCCATGAAACGTCTATATTCGAACGTATTTTAGACGTCTATTATAGAATTATCATAAGTATATAAAGCGTTTAGATTTTGTCTAACTTACATTTAAATCTAGTCTAATTAACGTATATAAAACTTTTAGATTTAGTCTAAGTAAAACGTATATTTATTATAAGATCTTGTTTAATAGTTTCTTTGATTTAGTTAACATAATTTCAATTTATTCAAGTTTTAAAACTTACATAAATTAAAATTACTTTATAACTTTTTAACTTTATATAAGTAATAAGAGCTAACTAGGTCTTGAAATTTATAAAAAAGATATACTTATAAAAGTAATGAAATTTATAAATAAGATATAGTTATAAAAGACCTGGTCTTTTTATAACTATTTTAATATGTTTATAAACTTAAATACTATACTTTTACTTATACTTTGCTTTTAAATTATAAAACTATATATAAAGTTATAAACTTATATAATAATATAAAACGTTTTCATATAGTGGGAATTTAAAGAAAAAAATATTCGTGCACTATACTTATTTATGCTTCGATAATTAAAAAAATTAAATGATCAAGCATTTTGCTATGGAAATTTTATTGTAACAATTTCTATCAAACATTTTTAAAATTTAATCTAATTAGCAGAAAATAAAAGTTTACATTAAGTTAAAGATTACTAATAAAATCAATAAACTCGTAAACATATATTTTGGATCACTGTTTTCTCAAGGTTATGCATTATCAAAAATCTTCCTAGTATTTCGCCTGCCACTTGTTTATCATGCACCTGTTCTTGTGTTACATCATCTTCTACATTCGCAATTTTTTTGATTTCGTAACCAAATTTGTAACCGCAAAAAACTTGGGCAAAGGAGTTAGCATTTTAAATGTACATTAATAAATCAAAACTGGAATTAAACAGAACAGCTTTACATATAGAGCATTTTCTGAATGGAAGTTATCCGAAATTTCCTGTAGTATCCATGTTTATTTTTGACATTACAAATTAGTAAAGTCACGACATAACATATGGAGTGGTTTTTACTAGCTCTGTTCCACCAATTTTCTTTAGCAAATGTAACTAAATTAAAATAAAAAAATATATACTTAGTTATTAAACCGATTATAACAAAGATGAATACCTACTGTTACACCATCATAATAGCGTTTACAAAATGAGTTTAAACTGTTTATAAAACTTACGAAAAAGTTTTTGCAGTATTACATTCATAACGAGAGACCAACAACTCATAATTTTTAACTGTGTCAGTGAGGCCATTAATAATTTCTAAAACATCGATTTCCATTGATTTGTTGGCATTTAGGAAAGTAGATTGTCGCGAAAAGAGTTTTTCAACTTTCACGAGTTAAAATGGCGTACCCGAAACTCGTTTATTATTTACTTATCTGTCGTTTTGCTTTTAGTTGTTGTAAAAAAGTGAATCTTGAAAATGCATTTAAATCTAATTTAATTATTTAGCATATGAAAAACAATTTTTTATTGGCTAAATAATTTAATTTGTCAGTTTTTAATTGTTTTTGATTGATGTAACAACATTAGACTAAAAATTACTCTAAACAATCTTATCTTATTCTTATCTTTAATTTAGAGATAAGAGGCAATATAAATCGTTTGTTTATTAAATTTGAATAAAGTAATAAATAATGATTTATTACTTTATTATAAATAAATATCTTACAACAAAAAGATATCAAAAAATAGAGAACTTAAAGCTTTAAATAATCCTGCTTGTTTTAAATTATTGAAGCAAACATATCTAATATGTAACTCCGTCACTGACAATTTTGCTGCTATGATTTTAGAGTTACGATTTTTTTGTTGTTGTTATAACAACAAAAAAGTTCGAAATTTCGAAAATGCAACTATCCTTAAAAAGATAGTTAAATAATTAACATAGACACTAGCTATAGATTATTACATTACCTTTAAAGTTCGCATTCACTTTAAATTAATCTTAACAGAAGCCTATTTATTTTTTTTTTAAAGCTCGAAAAAGTATTGTACATTTTATAATAAATCTAAAACATTACCGTGTTTTGACACTAAGTATTAAACTCAAGTTACTTTTTTTAAATGTTTATTTACCTTAAAACATGGTTATTATTTCTGTATTTTTTTAGATATTAATTATAGCGTTGAATGTCATCCAAAAACCATGACCCTTGCTATTAAAAAACCCTTACCAAGCTGGCATGAAATTGAAAACTTTCATTTAATTGATCGAAGTTGCAGAGCAATCGAAAACAGTACACATGTGCTTTTCAAGACTCCTCTACATCTTTGTGGAACTACAAAAGAAAAGCATCCATCAGGAGCATTTTTATTTCAAAACGCATTATTAAAAACAATTGAAGCCTACCCAATTCAACGCACCAGTATCATGTTAAAAACATACAGCTGTAGGTAATATGTTTTATAGTTGTAAATAATATACAATTAGCATATGATATATACATATATAGGAATATATATACATATATATGTATATATATATACATATATATATGTTTATATATATATATATGTATATATATATATATTTATACATATATATATATATATATATATATATATATATATATATATATATATATATATATATATATATATATATATATATAAATTTAAAAAATTTTAATAATTAAATAAATAGTATGTCACCGTATATAATGTATTTTCAATTTTATATATACAGAGTGCCGTGGCAAGTGGGTCTGGTTTCCCTTCCAAAACTAGCCTTTAGAACCCCCAATTATTTTTTTTAACAAAATAGTGGATAAAAATTATAGGCTACCCCGAAACAGCTGGGTACCTGACATTTTTACGTGTCGTTCGTAAGATTAAAAACAATCATATAAACGCTTAAATTTAATTAAATATATTTTATAATTGATATACAGTTTACTAGTCAAGAGTTTCTTTAACTACTGTAACTGTACAAACGTTCATTGACCATTGTTGACCTATTTAAAGATACAAAGAAATATAGCTACATGTATTAATGTATAATGAAGCAAGATTATTTATACTAACCTATGAAAAGTTTTAATTAATTTTAACTGCTGAAGCTACTTTCTGCACTTGTAACAGTTACAAGTAAAGTAAGAATGATTCGCAACGCAATAACTAGACTGGGACAATTTTCTTGCAGCTCTTCTTTTAAATATAGCTTACGAAGTCATTTCCCAGCAAACACAAAACGTTTAACGAACGTTGCAAACGTTAAAGAACGTTCAATAAACGTTCATAAAACGTGCTCGTACGTTCGCAACGCTCTTCGAATGTTTTATGTTTGCTGGGTTTAGGAGAGTACTTTTTTCCTCCTTTATAACTATGACAAACTGTTTTAACTCCATTTCTAAATCCTCAGAATCTATTTCACCAAGTTTTATTTGCAAACTTTTGCGATATACAGACAGAGAATTTTTATTATAGACTTTGATAAGACTCTCATATCAGTAAAGAAAGTAATAAAGCTTTCCCATCAAACATAAAACGTTCAAAAAACGTTGTGAACGTTCATAAAACGTTCTTTAAAGTTCGCAAAGTTTGTTGTACGTTTTGTGTTTCCTGGGTTGTGACAATGCTGATCTGCTCAAAACGCTGTTTTGTTGATGCAATTGACATTTCAATTAGTTGCAAAAAGAATTCTGCTTTATAATGATGTTTAGGTTGCCAAGTGTCATCAACACACTTGTATGAAACGCACTATCGGAAAAACCTTTTCAATTCCCAATACTTCTGCCATTTCTGATGCCTTAATATGTACTTCAAAAAATCCATTTTTGCAATACTCATAAAGAAGTGCATTTATTGCCTTTATTTCACTAGCTATTATATTGAGAAAAGTTGCAGAAGATTGAAGAAGCTTAATTGATTTGTTAATTTGAAATAAAGCTTCATACCAAATAATGGTTGATAATAAGAAAGACCATGTTCTAATATATTCTGTAAGATCGTGCTTCTGTGGCTGTTGCCCCATCTCTCTTTTCTAAGACATATTCTTCAAATGTTTCGAGTGCCTCTAAGATTTCTTTTAAATAATAGCGAAGTGGTTTAACACAGTTTATTCTACTCTCCCATCTGGTATCTAATTGTGGTTTGACAGAAATTGCCACGCACGATTTTAAAATCTCACATAATAAAAAAGAATCAATTCAAAAATGAAAAATAAAAGTCTATATGATTATGGACTTATAATCATATGGACTTTAAAAGAAACAAATGCAAAGCGTTACAGTTTTCTAATGCTTTACATTTGTTGCATTAAAACTAATGCCTATGTTTTAATTAAAACAAATAATATGCTTTTTATTTCATAATACTAAAGCAAAAATAATAACATATAGCATAGTAATAAAATAAATTAAGAACGATTTATAATTTATAATTAAATAACCTTGAGATTTATAATCTAAATACAAACAATAATACCCCAGCAAAAAACAAAACAGTCTATGAACGTTCATAGAACGTTCATAGCATGTTCTATGAACGTTCATAGAACATTTATAGAATATGCTCGAACTTTCGCAACGTTCGTCGAACGTACCTGAACGTTGTGTTAGCTGGGATATTCGCATATAATCGTAAAGTAAGCAACTTAGGGAAATATATTTCTTCACACGATTTGCTGTTTAATGGTTTCTTATTAACGGTTTGATAGATTTATAGAAAGTTTGCGTTTATAATAAAATTCGGACTTCGGGAGTATTAAACAATTTTTTTTTTTTTTTTTGCATTAAAAATATGATTGCTATTTTAACTTTTGAAAAGAGCCCCTAAAAAAAAGAGGGCCCTCCCCTTCGACAGTCTACACTCCTCTTTATTTTATTTTTTAATAATTTACAATTTGTTAAATATCAAAATTATATACAAAAAAAAAATAGAGTTAAATAAATTTCACATAATTTGTAATAAAAATCTATCAAATCTTGCTTTAAAAGAGTTTAAAGACTGTGCATTCACCGCATGAATCGGTAATGCATTTTGTTCCAGTTTGGTTGCGCAATGTTGGAACTTTGTTTCAGTTTCAATATCACCTTTAAAACTAGAATTTATACAGGGATTGCAAACTCAAGGTGAGGTCTAACTAGCACGGTGTACGGAGTACAAATCAGTTTGCATATACATTGTAGTGTTTCTAGTATGTCGTTGATGAATATCAAAAACAATAGAGGCTCAAGAACAAATCTTTTTTTAGAATTTGCATACGAATAGAATTGCTGATATATTCTGTTATATTTTTCTAAGATGATTTCATAACACTCATTTGCTGATTTTAAGCAAATGAGTGTTAAATTCTGCAAATTATCCCAGTCTGTATGCTCTAGTGCTGCATTCATTCTTGTATAACCACCTTTCCTGTAGGCGTATGATTTTTTGTGTAATATTTCTTTTACAATGGTGCTGTTTATGATGATCCTCTATTGAATGACATTGTGTGCCTAATTGATTGATCCTAGTGGTGTTCTTATTTCTATGTCTATTACTCTTTCATTGTCGTTCATTACAACAAGATCTAGTATGATTGTTTGTTTTCCATCCTCAATATAAAACATTGGTTCGGACACGCACTAATGGAGATTTTTTGTTTAAATTGTCGACGAAGTTTAAGCTCTGTTGACAGTTACCTTTCACACTAATGCACAGATTTTCAGACCAATCAATGTTGGGGTAGTTGAAATCTCCAGCTATAATTGTAGCAGTGAACTTTTTTTTATCCACTAAATTTTTGGCTTCTATGATTTGGTTTAATTTTGCGTTTAATTCAGGTGTGATGATTGGTTGCCTTTAAAAATACCCCCTAGCATTATATGGTCCTCAGTTGATAGCTCAACACTACACCACACTTGTTCAACAGTTTCTTTGCACGCATTCATGTAACAGTTACCTGTAGTTATAATAGATTATTTTACATAGATTGCAGTCCCTCCCTATTGATCTGCTTTTTTTTGTAGCATGTATAACCGTCTAAAATTATTGATGACTTGTTAAATCATGTCTCGGTTATCATAATTATGTCTGGATTATCCACCTTTACTCGAGCTTTAAATTGGTGTCTTTTGTTGTTTAGGGAAACAGCGTTGGTATATTAAAATTTTAATCATTATGTGAATGGATTGGTTTATGCTTTGGTTGTTATGCATTTGTAATTTCTTGACTTGCTCCAGCTGTTGAAGATGAAACGTTTGCATTTGTTGGAGTTGCTAATATTGGTTGGCGATCTGTTAAAACCGTTGTCACTGCCGTACCTACAGCTGATACTTTAATTATAGCTACTGCTCCATTTCTGATGATGTACAAAGTTGACATGTTAGTTTGTGCAGTATTTAAGCGGTTTCGCTCATCCACAACTTTGTACAATCGGCTTCTTTTTACTAATATACATTAATGGATTGAGCGGCATCTGGCGCAACCTCTGAGAATAACTTTTTACTTGTTGCATATTTTAAATAAGGTTGGTTTCAAGCTTATCTAGTCTATCAACCAGTCTTGCATTTTCAATTCGAAGTTTCATGTTGTCTTGAGACAGTACCGCAATCTGTATTTTCATCTCCTCAAGTGCCTAGGTCATCTCAGCTTTAAAATTATCAACATATTTTTTAAATTCTAGATTTCTAACCATGTTGATCCTCGATAGGAGGGCTAACACTCTTAATAACAGCGGATCACCTCCTGTCTGTAAAATATATACTGTTATTATTAGTTGTAACCTTATTAAGGAGCTTCTTAACACAGAATAGAGTAAAAAATTAGTATTTTTTTTTATAAACTGACTTTTCATATTTAAAAAAAAAAACAAGTTTTTACATTATTGTAAAATATTATTTATTTTTTTTATAAATAAAGCTTATCAAATGTATTGGACGTTGTGTGCAAAGTCGGAAAATCACTTTGCACGTCCTGTATTTTAGACAGCGGTTCCTGTCATATGGACAGGGGATCCTGTCATGTAGACTGGACGTGCAAGTTCTATCTAAAAAATTTATGTGAGACAGGGTTAATGCAGAATAAAGAGAGAAATTAAACGTAATTAAATATTTTTGTACTTTCCTTTTATTTAATTTTAGGTACAACAACAAGTATGAAGCTTCAGTATCAATTGCTAAAATCTCTATGAAACCCAAAAATTTTCGAAGTATAGCGTTTGGAAACTATAATGTAACTATTGATCAGTATAAAGACGCAACGTTCATTGAAAAAAAGTTTGATTCAGTCACTTTTGATTCAAATGCTGATATGTACTTTCAAGTTGGTATATTGGGCGAGGTGTTCAACCTGGCTTTGTTTTTAGATGAATGTTTCGGAAGTCCGTTCTATAGAAGCAATAATAAAGAAAAATTTACTTTTATTGAAAGGGGGTAAGATGAAGTTATAAATATTAATTGGTATTCTCTGGCATAAAAGCTATATATATATATATATATATATATATATATATATATATATATATATATATATATATATATATATATATATATATATATATATATATATATATATATATATATATATATATATATATAAATCTTTGAAATAACCAACTTATAAACAACAAGAATATTGCAAATTTTTTTAAGTTCATATGGATGACGAAAAGATTCTTTTAAAAAAAAATTTCTGTGTTACGAGAGTGGAAACAAGAAACCCTAAAATCTTACTTTTTGTACTACTTTTAAATAGATTTATATTCATCGAGAAATTTTAAATTTCATAGTAAAATATTTTAGTGTTTAAAAATTGTGACCATATAAAGTTTGCAACCCCCTCAAATTGAGGGGGTTTTAAACTTTATATGGTCATAATTTTTGAACACTAAAATATTTTACTACGAAATTTAAAATTTCTTAATGAATATAACTCTCTTTTAATATTGGTATAAAAATATTTCATCAACTTGTTGCTCTCACGTTTGGGGCAGGGGGCTGTTTATACTCATTTGTTCAAACGTAAAATAATTTGGAATATTCTTGTTGTTTATAACAAAACTTTATACGTAGCCGTATTTATTGAATTCTAACCATATATATATATAAATATATATATATATATATATATATATATATATATATATATATATATATATATATATATATATATATATATATATATATATATATATATATATTAGTAGAAAATCACTTAGCAAAATTTTTTCTCGTTAAACACTGTGTTTCATCAATAAAGACTCATCAGAAAGGCATTTCTGATGAGTCTTTATTGATGAAACACAGTGTTAAATAAGAAAAAAATTTTGCTAAGTGATTTTCTACAATTTTTGTAATTGCTCTGTTCTTTTAAAAACATTGAGCACTCTTTTTGTAGAATACATTTTTAATTGTTTAAATTTATATATATATATATATATATATATATATATATATATATATATATATATATATATATATATATATATATATATATATATATATATATATATATATATGGTTAGAATTCAATAAATACGGCTACGTATAAAGTTTTGTTTTAAAATATATATATATTTTTTCTTTAATATATAATTATTTCGATATTTCGCTGATCTATTGTGATCAGCGTCATCAGGTATAATAAACAAAATAGTTACAAAATCGTTATAGTAAAAACAAACCGTTAAAAGATAACATTAAAAAGCCATAAAATAATACAGAAAAAAAATTTTCAAACAACTCACCTCAGCAGATTTTATTAAAAAATGGCCCCCAGGTTTTGGTCATTGCGTTATCACCGTCATCCCGATTGAGAACCACGTCACTATTTCTTAACTCCTGTTGAACCCTAGCCTTGCTTATTTCGAGTGACTCTCTGATTTTCCGAGTTCGATATTCTGGGGCTACAGATAATGTTTTGGAGTGCAACCAATCAAACTTACCATGGCATGTTTTAGAATGCTCAGTTGCACCCGAACTGGACCATTTTCCTTTTAAGCTGTTTTTTTGGTGTTCAATACATCTCGATATCACCTTCTTTTTAGTTTCGCCAATGTATATCGAACCACGTGACCATTTTAGCTGGTATACGCCAGGGTCTGTGTTTAGAGGTAGTTTAGTTTTATTGTTGCAGAAAATACTTTTTAAATTGGGAGTTGATGTGAAAATAACCTTTATGTTTTGCTTTCGAAATTCTTTACGAAGTTTTAGACCAACAATTGGTATCCAAGGTAGTTTTATAAAAGGTTCAGTATCTATTTGTTGAAATGCGGTGTTTTTTGAACCGTTTTTTAAATATTCTGTAGTAATATTATTTAGAATGTTCTTGTCGTGGCTATTTTCAACAAAGATGTCTATTAGAAAATCAATTTGTTTTTGAAGGTGTTTTTGAGAGAATATTCTTTTAGCACGACATAAAAATCCTTTGAAAACGTTAATAATAATGTTAGGATTAATGTTCGAGTATATATATATATATATATATATATATATATATATATATATATATATATATATATATATATATATATATATATATATATATAATATTATATATATATATATAAATATATATATATATATACTCGAACATTATTCGAGTATATATATATATATATATATATATATATATATATATATATATATATATATATATATATATATATATATATATATATATATATATATATATATATATATATATATATATATATATGTATACTCAATTAATGTAACCCACTAAGGATTTACCGAATGATTAAAGCTCACAAACCAGAAAAAGATTATCCAATGCGCCCTGTTGTATCAACAATTAACACACCACCTTATGGAACATATGATTATCTTGTTAAAATCATTCAACCGGCTCTGATCAAAAATAAAAATAGACTTATGAATTCTAATAGTTTTGTAAAAGAAGCTAAGCAATGGATAATAGATCCTAACGAAGTTAAAGTTTCATTTGATATAGTCAATTTATATCCATCTATACCCATTGACGAAGCAATTCCGGTTATTATTGATATATTGAACGCTGACATTGATGACTTAAAAACTCGAAATAAACTTACTCTTGCAGACATAAATCAATTAATTGAACTTTCATTAAGTATATGCTTTTTTTTATAGGAAAACAATATCCGAATATTACCTAATTCAGGTCCTATAGGTTTATCTTTAATGGTTGTTATGGCGGAAGCGTTTTTACAAAATATAGAAAGAAAAGCCCTTAACATAGCAATTATTCATACATCCGAACCAAAAACTTACAAGAGATATGTAGATAATTGTCATGCTCGCTTTGCTTCAATAAAACAACAACAAATGTTCCTGAACATCCTTAATTAACAACATCCATAAAATACACAGTGGAACTTGAAAATGACCTCAAACAACTCAATTTCCTAGATATTAACGTTACAAACACATGCTCTGGAACTTATGAATTTCAAATACATAGAAAAGAAGCTATTACAAATGTTCAACTTAAACCTAACTCTATGTATATATATATATAAATATATATATATATATATATATATATATATATATATATATATATATATATATATATATATATATATATATATATATATATATATATATATATATATATATATATATATATATATTGTAGGAATTGTGTTAATATTTCCAGTAAGAGTGCTCAATACAGCGTGTTATATAAATAGTAGAACATATAATATAGTGAAAACTAAATAATTATTAACATATATTTCAATCACATAACTTAAAGTTTCACGCAATAGCAATCATCAGATGTAACTACAACAAAAAAGTAACGACAAAAATTATATTCAAAAATGCTATGGAGTGTCCGCTTTGATGATAATAAAGTTCTTTATTAAAAATTTATTTTCATGATGGCATTTTGACGCAAGCTCGGTGTTCGTTTGTTAAGCAAATTTAATGGTGATGTAATAATGTGGTATTTTTCTGTCAAGCATAAATTGCAAAATTTACCACCAGGTTTGAATGGCTCCGCTAAGTTTTTTAATAATTGTTTATTATAATGATATTTTTCTATTAATCATTTTAAATCCTGTTTATAAGTCTAGCATAACTGTAATGATGAAAATATCGCAATTAATTGCTGTCCTCAATTTTGAAATGAGTAGTAGAACTGCTGTTTTAGTAGAGTTTTTTTTTTTAAACCAAATTAATTTTTATTAAATAGCATATTTTCTTCAAATAAGTAATTAATTTGTGGTCTCATGTCAAGTGATAACTTGGGTGATATCTCTTTGTGTGTGGGTTTCATAGTGGATTTTTTTTCTCTGTTGTTAGATTTTAATCTTTCTTCATGATTTATAGCTTTGTAATGTTTAAGGCTATTTTCTTTGTTCAATTAAATTTTTTTTTAAGCATCTTTACTTCTAGCAAGGCTACAAGCAACCATTACTTTGAACGTTGAAAAGTTGAATGTTACTGGAAGAGAAAAAGATGAAGTTTATAAAGCAAGATAACAATTAACAGAATTAAAAGATTGCAAATTATATGAATCAGGAAATCAAAATGAAGGAAGCGAACTCCAAAGAACTGATATTTGAGGAAAAAAATAGACGAATAAGAATTTTTGGAGCACTTAGGAACAGTCACAATAAAAGGATGAGACTTAATTGAATGATGAGTTGCACGAGAATGAATTTTCGTAGATTTTTTCATTTTATTTATTTTATTTGCTCTATAATATTATTTACAATAAGATTTATAATATTACACGGACAGACTTCAAGAAGATTGTAATGATCTTATTAAGAAGCCCTTGACAAAGATGGCACAAAAGATGCTAGCTTATTAGAACAGCGTCCGCTATAGTATTTATAAGAAAGAGAAATAGAAGCAATATTACGAAAATATAGGTTAAAGTTGGCTCCAAGAGAATGTTAAATTATGTTTACAATGCATTTTTGCACCTTGTCTAATAGAGAAAATGCATCACTCAGATATAGCAAGAGCATTCCATACAAAAATGAATTTGAGGTTTACAGAAATAAAAAATAGTATGCAGAGTAAGAAAGTGACAAGTACAATAAAGAGAAGCCACCTTAGTAGATACTAATTTTGGATTTAATATACATGAAATTAATTCTATATGACTCATTGGTTGCATTACCGTTCATAAATATAGGAAGATCTAGACTGTTTCAAAAATGATTAGATGAAAAAATTGAGTTTTATCTTAGATAAAGTTCTCCAGCTACTGAGAGCATTATGTTGTAGCAGAAGTGAGATCTTTTTCAAGCTCAAATTCCCCCTCCAAACAAGCTGAGAGTGTTGGCTTCTTATCAAGACAAGATTAGTTGATTTGATTTGATTACTTTAAATTGGCTCCTCTCTAGACTAGCTTTTTTACTTGCTGTCACTAACTTAGGATCACTCATCCATTTATTGTAGAAATTTCTATTTTTATTTGAAATGGTTTTTGTTCGAACTACTGTGTTTTAAAATTTAGATTATTTATTTGAGAATAAATTTTATTAAAAATGATAAAACAATTTTCTTCAACATTACGATTTTTTTTTTAAATTTCCAAAAGCCATTATAATAGATATCTTGAGAAACATTTTTTTGATAGGTTAATCCTATAAACTTAACTTTTCTTTATTAATAAATTTTATTAATTTTCCTTTATTAAAAATTTGCAATTACTATTATTTGTTTTTTGTCTTTTATTTATATTTAGATTATTACTTAATTTTCTATAATGAAGTATATAATTTTATTTTATCAAAACTTTATATATTTTAACTATATATATTTATTTTACTTTCGAAGATGCTCTAAAAAATTTTTGGTCTTTTGAAGGTGCTCTAAAGATAAAAGCCTCAAGTTTTACAAAACTGCTGACGCAAGCAAAATAAGGTTTAGCGTTAAACCATTTCTTTTTGAAAATTCAAGCAGAATGTTTATTAGCTGTTACGTATCAGCTTGTAACGCAAAGGATTTAAACGATAACAAATGTAAAAAAGGTTGTTTAGAATAAATAGTTTAAAAGTTGTTTTAATTAGTATAAAAATTAATAAAAAACTATAAACCTTTATTAAAAATAACCAAACCTGTGTTTTTGTATTAAAATTGTTTTATAAAATTTATTTAATTTCATTTATTTGATAATAAATATTTAATCAAGATTCAATTTAATTTATTTCAATTAATTTATAATCAAACTTATTACTAACGTAGGGGAGAGTGGGGTATTGTCTAACAGCCAAGTGGGAATGCGAATTAGAGACACCAGTTATTTGAAATTGATTTATTACTATTATTAGCTATTCAGTCAAAAACCCTCAAAAGCAATTTTTATAAATTTTATTATAAAACAAAAAATTAGGGCAACTATAAAACCATTGGTGTTTTAAATTTCCCCACGTACGTGGGATAATTCCAACACACTGTAGGTAATTACAAACACTGTTGTGTAATAATGCTAATTGTAATAATTAAGTGTAAAAATCATACTATGCAACAACAACAACAAAAGGAGTGGTTTTATATCCATAATAGCTAAAACAGGAATGTTACTCAAGAAAAAAGTTGCATGAAGTTATTATAAAAAGTTAGGATCAATTTCTATTATCCTGTTTTGACCGTGTTTGGAGTTTTCCCACGTCCGCCGTTACCCTACTCTTCCCTAATTACGTACTTATTTGTAACATTCCTATAATGTTATTTAAAGACTTGTAAATCAGAAACCGATGCGGGATTATTTTATGGGCGATGCCTTTTTTTTTATTACATTCCCTTGCATCCTGTTTAGTGGTGGGGTGGGGGAAGGAGAAGAAGTTATGATATTAAAACAAGTTAAGCAAAAATGATGCCTTTTCTTTTCTGTTCATAAACTAGACATTTAATTCTTGCCTAACTAATTTAACAAAGCGTTCCAACAAAAAGATAAGCCAAAGGACTTAGCACATTATCTGATATTTTTCATGTTGTCTAAGATCAACCCTCTATTTCTTGATTTTTTTCTTTGCTTGATAGACATTGCACAGTAATTTTAGTTTTTTTTTTCAAAAATTTATTTTGATAAAATGAAAAATACTGTGGTCAAATCTTCCGCAACGCATAAATTTTTTAAAACATTAAAAACCTTTAGTGAATTCAATAATCCTCTGTCAAATAACATGTTAATTTTTTAATCTCTTGAAATTCTTTGCTTTTGTTTTTAAAAAAAGAAGAAATCAAGTTCCTTTAATTTATAAATCTAATTCTAAATGATATACCTCCTAGTTTTTCAGACCCCATCACTATTATACTTATTACCCCTATACTTATAAATACCAAGACAAATATCATTAATTGAAGAGATTACGCAAGATTACGACCAGTTGTACCTGATTTATAATCAAGTTACGGCAAAAAATCTACACAAACAATTTAAATAAAAATAAATAAATAAATTGTTTAGTAATTTAAAAAGAATAAAGAAAATTATAAAAATTTCTTGACTTATCAAAGTTCTACAATGACGTCATACATTTGACAAGTTAGTTTTTTCTTGATACACGTCAATTATTTTCTTTTAATCAAAAAAGCTCAGGCTAAACATATTTTTTAATCATTCTCTTTAATATGAACACAAACTGCCTCGGACCTTGAGGATCCAATTAAACCCCATCCTGTTTATAGCTAACAAATTTTGACTGCCTTTTGGTAATGATAAAGTAGATAACTGAAAGTCCTATCAGAAATTGAGTTTGACATTGAACTACAACATTCATTAAAGTAAAGCAAAAAAATTCCTTAAAGTAAAAACTAAATGGTCGAATATGACTTTCATAATCAATTGCAGTTCCGCTATATAACTAGTCCAGAGCAGTAATCTGACAGATGTCTTTTGATGTAAGGTGTAAAGTGTTGATGTGAAGACTCTCTTGTATTGTTGTATCAAATCCTGAGTAAGAGGTGAGAATTATGCAGATTTCCGCATGAGTAAATGAATACATGAGCTGTAAATAGCCAGTCTAAAATGGACTCAACAAGCTATGCGGGCCTAATGCCTCGATGATAAATATATACTAATATAAAAATATTAATATATAATCAATCGATTGACAATACAACAGTTTAGAAATACTGTTATACAATATATGCTATATAAAAAAATTTATCGTACTTATACTAATATAAAAGTTCATTCATTTCTTTTGTTCTTTGTAAATTTTCAAAGAAAAAGAAAATATATAATATATAGAAGTACGCAGTGGCGGATTGAGGTTTAACGTTGTGCGAAGAGGAAGGTTCAGGGTAATGAGTAGAGGGCGACAGGGATTGGGGGAGGCACATTAATTCCTAAAAATATTGCTCCACAATATTGAAATTAGTTAATTTTGTAAAGGTATGTAAACGATGGTTGGTTACTACCTTGTTTTCCGTTTCCGTTTAAAATAAACGCAGAATTTTGTAATGAGAAACATATTTTTGGGGGCGCTAGTTGACCGTTTTAGGGGGCACGGGGAAGGTGGGCTTGCCCCTCCCTCTCATGCTCCTCCATATGCTGAATCTGCCACTAAAAATACAATCAATCGTTTCTGTAAAACCATGATACTATAACAGTGTTTTTATATTATTATATGTTATCAAACTTTATTTTATATTTTATACGTGATTGCTCTATATTTTTGTTTCCATTTTTTACTTTACTTTCAAGTGAACTTTATTTAGATGTATGTTCGGTTTTTTGTTGTCTTTATTTCAGAGACTCTTACATGCTTAATACAAGGGGGGAGGGTAACAAACGGGGTAGTGGGATCTTTAGTCTAGATTTAAAAAACAAGGGAGGAGGGGTCTTGATAAAAGGATGAGTCGGGACTTTTTAAGATTTTTATTCTTGTTTGTGACTGCAGCAAAAAAAAAAAAGTATATATTTATAATATATAAAAAGTATATATTTATAATTCAACTCATGCATATACAGTTAATTCCCGGTAAGTCGAACATGCCATGGAATTTGCTGGAAGAATAAACGTTACATTTTTTCACGCTTCAGATGGTTGGTTAGACCGTTGGAAGAAACAATACAACATATCATTCAAAACGGTTTCTGGTGAAGCTTATGCGTGTACAAGTGAAATGGTAGCACTATTGGAGGAAACCATGTTACCAACCATTTTATCAAAACATAAGTTAAACCAGATTTATAATGCTGACAAATTTGGCTTGTTTTATCGACTCCAACCAAATGAATCTTTACATTTTAAAAATGAAAAATGTGTTGGTGGGAGACACAGCAAACTACGTCTTACAGGATTTGCATCTGCTAATGCATTAGGGAAAAAATTTCCAATGTTTGTTATTGGCAAAGCTAAATCGCCCAGATGCTTTAAAAATATAAAGCATTTACCCTACCGTTATCGCTGTCAGAAGAAAATTTGGATGGATGGCACACTATTAGAGGAATGGGTTCGTGAAATTCATTGGCAATTTACGAAGGAAGAACTAAAAATTGTTTTATTGGTTGATAATTGTCCAGCTCATTCTAATGATTCGAGATAATCTCGAATCATTAGAACTAATTTTTTTTTACTACCAAACACTACCTCGAAGCTCCAGCCGATGGACCAGGGCGGATTAGGTTACTTAAACCCCATTATAGAACACTATTTGTTCAAAAATTAATAGATGCAATAGAAAAAAAAGCCTTTTCCGGAATTTACTATAATGGATGCCAAGCAAATGCTTTATGTTGCTTGGGGGAAGGTGAAGACCGAAACTATTTTCAAAAGCTGGAATTGCTTTATTAAAGCTGAAATTTCAGAGAAAATGTGTTTTGACGCCTTGGTAGATGTGGATGATCCCTTTGAGGATCTCAAAGACCAGTTACAAAAGCTCACTGTTCATTCATACGAGTTTTTACCTTAAGAAACAACAGTAAAAGATGTCGTTTCCATGAATGATTTGGTCAACACTGCCGAGCCGATAACGAGTGATGAGGAGATTATATCAGGCGTTTTAGAAGAAGAAAATTTTGAAGCTGAAAAAGATGAAGATAGTGATGTAGATTTTTTGATCAAACCAACTTGCCCTCAATCGGGTGATGTACGTCAAGCCCTGGAAGTACTACGAAGCTACATGATATTCAGTGACAATGGGGAGTGTATTCATAAATGTATAAACCAAATAAACTTAATTGTGGAAAAAGAATTATCAGAGAAGCTTATACAAGTGGATATACGTAGTTTCTTTCAATGAACTTTTTTCACACTTTTTATTACTATAGTAGTGTTTATTTAATGTTTATACTTAAGTATTGAATAAATAAAAATCGCCTTAACTCGAACTAATATCTCATTTCTGTCAAATTTTGACTTAACGGGACATCGCTTAAGTCGAACATTCGTTAAGTCGAACTATTTTCCTTGGTTCCTTGGAGGTTCGAGTTATCGGGAATTAACTGTATTTTGCTTGCTTTTTAAATTATTAATTACTTAACTTATAATACAGAACAATAATAGAATAGTTATTACTGTTTGAAAAAAACTGTTTAATTTTTATTTTTTACCTAATATTACATATTAATTAAGTAAATTTTTTAATTTAAAAATTTTTTAACTTTAAAATCAAAAAATGAAATTTGTCATCCTTGATGAAATTTATGTTAAAATTTTCAAAAAGTTTACTCTTTAAAAACTTTACATCATGTGTGAAGTTTTTAAAGAGTAACTAAATAAAAAAATTTAACCAAAAAATATTACTTTGCGAGGATAAACTGACTAATTTGCTCCCATAAACTAATTTACACTGGTGCTGAGGTGGCACAGGCTATAGCCAGAGTTGGGATCAAATATATTTGATCAAATACAAATAAGTATACGTTAGTTAAAGATTTCCAAATGGAAATTCAAATACAAATATATGTCATCGGCATCAAATACAAATATATGTCATCGGCATCAAATACAAATATATGTCATCGGCATATATATATATATATATATATATATATATATATATATATATATATATATATATATATATATATATATATATATATATATATATATATATGTAAATATTCTTGAATTAAATTGTTTTATTCGTGTTCTGTAAAAAAAAACCCAACCCTTTTTTATTCCCACAGCCTTTTATTCCGACGGTCACTTGTATGAGGCACGCGTGAATAGAGGACCTATACTCACGCGTGCTCAACACAATTACCTTATAGTTAATTACTAATTACTTCTACTAGAGGTAAAACAGAAATGCGTTTATTAGATTACACAATAGAAGACTTTTAAACAGAAATCAACGAATTGCTAATTAAAATGTATTAAATGTAAACTTTCATTAAAAAATGGGGACTTTCCTGATCAATTAAAACTTGCTAAAATAATTCCAATTTATAAAAACGGTGACGATTCTTTAGAATCAAACTACAGACCCATCTCAATTCTTTCTTGTTTTTCAAAGGTTCTAGAATGTATTATGTATAATAGAATATATAACTTCATCGATAAAAACAATATTTTATATCTAAACAGTTTGGATTTCGGAGAAATCATCGCACTGAGCATGCTGTGATGGATTTTGCTAGCAATATTTTGAAAGGATTTGATGGCAATAATTATACACTTGGAGTTTTTGTTGATTTGTCGAAGGCGTTCGACACTGTCGACCACGAAATCCTTCTCTATAAATTAAAAAATTAAGGAATTCAAAATACTAATATAAAATGGCTCGAGTCTTATTTACAAAATCGTAAACAATGTGTGACGTATGATTTAACTTATACGCAGTTAGAGGTTATTAGTTGTGGTGTCCCTCAGGGCTCAATACTTGGTCCTCTGTTGTTTCTCTTATATATTAATGACATCCACTTATCCTCTAAATTCCTTAATTTTGTTCTTTTTGCTGATGATACTAATATTTTCTTTTCGGGGTCTAATTTAAAACTTGTTTTTTCTACTGTAAACACAGAGCTAATTAATCTCAATGAATGGTTTAAAGCCAATAAACTGTCCGTAAACATTGATAAAACTAAATACATTCTGTTCACAAAATCTTCGAAAACTGATAACATACGTCTGAAACTTCCTGATTTATTTATAAACAACATTAAAGTAAAAAGAATTTATTCAATGAAAATCCTAGGTATAATATTTGACAATCATTTAAACTGGAAAAATCATATTCAATTTGTGGAAAACAACGTTTCAAAAGCTCTTGGGATCCTTTTCAAAACGAAGCGTCTTTTGAATATAATGTGCTTAAAAAGCTTGTATTTTTCATTTATTTATAGTCACATTAGTTATTGCAGTATAGCGTGGGCAAGTAATTATTCATCCTCTTTAAAAAAAATTAATACCAAACAAAAACAAGCGAGCCGGTTAATTTTGAATGCAGGTAGATATGCATGCGCCGAGCCTTTACTTAAAAAAATTAATGTTTTAAATATTTATAAACTAAACATCTATCAAAATCTGTTATTTATGTTTAAAATTTATAACAACATGCTTCCAACATATTTTCAGCCTCATTTCACCTTAATTAATCACAAATACTTTACAAGATATTCCATTGGCAATTTTCTCATACCTACAACATCCCTTAGAAAAATTGGCGTCTCAATAACATGTCGAGGACCACGTTTGTGGAACTATTTCCTGAATAGAGACATGAAAAACATGACTTCAATTAAACTATTTAAAAGAGTCGTTAAACTATACTTATTAGATTTAAATAATAAAAACATTCTTTTGTATTTTTAAAAAAACATTTATATATTGATTTGTTAACGTGTATATATGCTTGTGGCCTATGTATATTTTGTGAACTGTGATGTGTTGTATTATGTACAAAACTTTTAATATTTATAAAACTTATACAACGTATATTTTAAGAAGTTAATACGTAAAACTTTATTGATATTTTCACGAACTTAGGAGCAGGTTGATAAGACGCATTGTCTTCTTCTTGCTCCTGTCAGAATATAAATATTTAATTTTTAATTTTTACAAAAACATTGTAAAATGATTGTTTATTGACGAAATATATATATATATATATATATATATATATATATATAATAATAATAATAGAGATGCTTGTTGCATGATTTGCAATCGATTTATTACAAAATTTAATAAGTTTTGAACAGGCGCTTATATTATTGAATGCTCATTATTTTGATGTCTCGATAAGTACATTATCGAGTTGATGTTTGAATAAGTAAGTACTTAAGCTAAGTAACTAACTTGTTTAGGAGTTTTAACAATCGACAAAATATTATTAGCAAATAAAAAGATTATATGTCTATTTTTACAGTATGAGTTTATTTTTCAATGCAAACTGAAGTTAAATACATTTTCACGGCAACACGAAACAAAGTTCTTTTTTAAACCAATAATCTACCCTGCAAATCTCAATTAAAAAGGAAAGAGTGAGATAATAACTGGTGTACTACAGATACCAATCAAGGTTTTTGGTGTCAAGCAGCAATCGATTTTGGCAATATCCAAAGAACTTCTAAAAAACTATATTAAGTTGGAACCCCTTTTAAATTGATTGAGTGACAAACCTTATAACGTCATAATTTTTGAACGCCAAGAGATTACTGCATGAAATTTAGAATTTATTAATGAATATAAACTTATTTAAGAATAGTTACAAAAATGTTTTATCAACTTGTTGCAAAAATCCAAAAATTTAGAGCTTTTTTGTTCCAAGGCTCCAATCATCGCAATTTTCTGCGAAGCATTCTTATTTGAGTTGATTCTTATTTTTAATTGACAAAGAAAAATACCAGTTGTAATTGAAAGATTGAAGATAAACAAAAGAGGTAATTTAATAGCATCAAAAACAGCTTTAAGAACATTAACATTAATATTGTCAAACCCTTCACTTTTATTTATTTTAAGCGCATTAAAGGATCCCTGAAGTTTAGAGAGTTCATTTAGAGACAGTTCCGACTCATCCATTACATAGTGAGTCTTTTTTTAATAGGATTGGAATGTTTTATTTCTAGGAGTTATATAAGTTTTAATAATGCTGGAAGCAGAGTTGTGGCTAGGGAGGGGGTTAGCAATTTTAGGAGGCATAATTGGAAATTTAGAAGCCCCTTTTACTATACGGCATTGGCTGGAAGTATTCTTATCGGATGGTAGTTTAACTTAATAGTTGGATTGTCTTTTTTAAAACAAGGTATAACAACTGCCATTTTAAAGAATGATAGGAAGGTACCATTAAAGATACTGTTATTAATAAAATCTCTAAGACACCAAAATGCGACAAACAAGACTTTAGCATATTGTAACATTTTTCTTTATTGTTTGCTTTTTTTTTTTTTTTACAATTTGATGACTATATTACTTCTAAAATATCATCTGTTGTGATTGGGCAAATTTAAAACATCCAGAAATAGTAATTATTATCCTTAATACTTTTGACAATAGGGTGGTTTGTAAATCTTGCAATGAGCGGTTCTCAAAATCAAGTCCTACGTTCATTTTAGTTACCTGATTAGAAGAAAAAAAGGTTTACATAGTTTCCAAAGAGAT